TTTTTTTAATTTTAAATTTTTATATATTATTTTGAAATAAAGTTTTTTCTGTCTCTCTCTCTCTCTCTCTTTTCATTTGATTGAATAAGGCATAAATTACAACCAGTCCATTTAAAATGAAAAAATGGAGAGTTTGATTTGAAAGTAAAGCTGTCATTTATTAATATATTTTCTTCTAGTATTTCATTTTCTATATTATTTGGAAGTTAAAATTTTCATAATGAATCAGATGCTATAGCTCCATCTCTAAAATTATCAACGGGAAATGGATTTTACTACAGATGCCTTCTCTTGTTCATCACTTTGCTATTTTAACAATTATCAAATTTTATTACCAATTATTTCAGTTTAGTTTAATTTTCATTTTTTTTTAAAATTTGATTTACTTTTTTCTGATCTAACCTATAGTATTTTATGAATATTTATTTCTCTGTGCTAACTAAACAATAAGATTTTGTTGTTTACTTAAGAAAATTATCATTTTATGGCTTTACGTAATATCAAATATTATGTCAACATTAAGTGAAGGAATAAGAGGGATTGTTTATTTTAAATATCTTATGTTAAACAGAAATATAAACAGTCACGCTGCATTTTGTATATTAGTAATTATGCTATGTGTTGATAAACATTGTATGCTATTATCGTGATTATTGCTTTATAGTTATAAGTAGTGTTTTATGAGGATTATTTTCTAAATGTCATTTAATAATTGCCCAAGTAATTCTCATTATACTAAAAGTTTCAAATACGTTTTACAACTTCTAAGACGGCATTTGCTTTCGTAAGGAATTAGAAATAGTTATGATAATTAGCTAATCATTCCGAAAGCATAATAAATGTTCTTATAACAGTATTCTTAATAAATTATGTCTTAGCAATGAATATACCTTATTTCCAGCTCAAAATTGTAGCTAATTTTAAAGATGACAATAATTACTCATAGCAATACTCAGTTTCGGTTTCAATTTTAATTTCATAGATAAAAGCTTTTATCTTAATTTAGTGCAATGAAGTGCATTAATTACTTTTCCGAAGTGACAAGTCAAAATAATTAAAAAATTATGTTTTGTGGAGATAATATCGGTAGATTTCTCGGTTGCAGCTTGCTTTTTAAGCGTTAGTACCGTTATAATGATAACTATATGTCAATTGGAAATTTTTAAACTTTGCTTCATTGTTAATACTAATATTAGTTTTCTACTTATATGATACTCAGAATCAGGAAAATTCCTGATTCGTTGTTAAGCATTGAAATAATAGTTCTTCACTGTTTATATTTCCGACATTTCACCGATAGTAAAATCCATTTAATTGGCATCAGGAACCAATGCCATATTATATTATATAACAGCAGAGGCTGTAATATTAGAATGAATAACAAATAACAAACAATAACAAATAACATCAATAACAGTTTCACAGATCAAATCAATATTTGATTTTGGATTAATTTTGGTTCGAATTTCTTGCTCAAAATAAAACTAATTGAGGAAAATGTTAAATTATCAAAAACTAATTTAGATCGAAAAGTTATTTTTGGTGGAAGAAATTGGTTATGCTAAAAGTATATGGGCGAAATTATCTTATACAATCGTCCATTGCATGTATTTTATTCCTAATCAGTGCGTTATATTTCTGTATCACAGTGAGATCAGCCGTATCATTCGTAATGCTTGGAAGTCAGAAAAAGATGGATCAAGTTAATCCATTCAAAGAAGTTTGTTTGTTTATTTCATTGTTCTTTCCTGCTAACTTACAATATCATCTTAATGCAACAGAAAAGAAATCAACTCAGCATAATCCGATCTTGTTAATGATTTGTTAATGATTATAATGGCAGGTGGATATTATTTATCTTAAAGGGAATATTTCTCTCTGGGTTTTAGAAATATCTTTTAAAAATTTTGTTAATTATATCAGTACTTGTTAAATTATTATTAATAGTTTGCACCTTACTATTCTCAATGTGAAATGCTTTTAATCGAAATTTTAAGGGATAAGTAAAATCTCGATATCACGGTAAGAGATCGAGGTGTATTATATAAACGATTTCAAGAATAGATAGAGCAAAAGAAACAATTTCCGATTTTAATCTCTTTTAGATCTTCTTTTTAACTCTATTATTATTTCGCTACTGTTTACTTTTCCAAGGAACGATAAAAATAAGGAAAATAAGGAATAAGGAACAAAGATTTAAAACAATTAAAATGCTGGCTTTAACAGAGCTGAAAATGACACTTAAAGTTATTTCTCATTTTGTATATTCAAATAATTCAACAATATGCGTTTCTTCTTGTACATTTTTAAATTAAAAGAAAAAAATAATAGTAATAATAATATATATCAAATAATTGATATCGCATTAGGCGAAAATATTGTTGCAAAATCGTATGAAGTGTGGAAAAGAAATTTATCATACTAATATTCGCTTTTTCTGCAATGCAGTATGATACGAAATAGCATAGAATGGAAATTTCAGACAATATAACTCAGATTAATAATAGCGATATTTGTATTTGAATTTGAATTTATCTCAAAAATTCCCAAGTGAAAATTTAATTGTTTTTAGCAGAAATATTAATTAATTCGGTAATGTCTTGAATTTGTGTTTATTTACGTTAATTTATATTTTATCTGAAAAACAAGAACGAATCATTCTCATTATAATTTATAATATTTATTTTTCAGAAAATAGTACATTTCGATTTAAAAGGCGCACCTCCAACTTTGAAATATTATGAGGAAATATTTCCTTTATTGAAACAAATGAGGGTAGATGCGATATTAATGGAATATGAAGATATGTTTCCGTATTGGGATGAGCTTAGTGTGCTAAAACGAGCAACAAATTATGATGATGATATTATAAAAGCTATTTTAGAGGTTAATTTTTCACACAAAAAATTTTATTTTCATAGATTTCTCATCCATTATTTTAATACTTTTTAATTATTACCGAAATTATTAGAAATTAATTTTAAAAATATATTTAAATATTATAAAAAGAAAAAAATGCGTTAGATTAGTCAACTTCAAGTTTACATTTTTATTTGCTTAGTAATTTTATCTTTTATCTCAACTGATAATTATTGCTCTGTTAAAAACTCATCTTATCTTAATATTGATGATGATAAGTGTTAGGATTATAATTAATAGTAGAGTAGACAATAGGATTCCAGAAATCTGCTTCTAATTTTGGCAGCAATGAAGCTTATAATTAAAAGATAACTAGAAATAGTTAATTATTATTGGAGAGAATGGACAAATTAAAAGCAATTCCACTCATCCATAATACTATATCCAATGGTCATAAACACAACTATGAAATTATGCTCATTGAATAATATAGAGCGAAAATCGATGTTTCATAATTTTCACAAAAATGATAATGATATTCTTTAATCATTTCGGATGTGACACTTTTCTAAAATGTTTTCCATAATAGCTTCTATGAGACAAGTAATCTCCAGTTATGGCAAACATATATCATCAAAACATTTATTTCATTTCTAATAACATGGTTTTCTTTGATTATCATCTAACCGGATTGAATAAAGCCTTATGTATCGTATACATAAGCAATGAATCATACTTATCTAATTAGAATGAATCATACTTAACTGATTAGAAAGCAAATTAAATATGTGAACATTTAAGCGAAAAATAATAAAGTAGGAAAGGATTCTGTTTTGCTTTTTTTAAGTTCCCATCATTGTTGTATCTTTGATTCGTTAACGAATAATTAATTAAATTTCAATTTATCGCTCATCTAATATAATTTTTGTTTTTTATTTAATTTTTTTCCCCTAAATTATTCTTTTGTTAAATTATTTTGTAATTTATTGATTTTTATTTATAGTTAGCATCGAATAATAGTTTGGAAGTTATTCCACTTGTGCAAACTTTTGGTCATATGGAATTTGTTCTCAAACATTCAAAATATTCAATGTATCGTGAAGATATGCTAAAACATGATACAATATGTCCATCAGATGAAGGTTCTCATCATTTAATTACTGAAATGCTCAAACAGGTTTGTAATATTTAATTAATGGATGATTCCATATTGTATTTATGTAGGATTTAATTTATTCGATAACAATGATAATGACAATTGTTTTCTCTCAGGACGGAATTTAAATTCATTTGAAAATTAACAATATTACATTATTTTAATAAATATCATATATTATTAAAGTGTATGTTAAAGTTTCCTAAATATAAGATTTTCCTTAGATACGGATCATGCATCCTAATGCAAAACGAGTACATATAGGTGCTGATGAAGCATATACTATCGGTAAAGATATTCGATGTATAAATCGACTTACAGGTAATTTAAATTCTTCGCTGGATCGCCTAAAATTGGATCATATTAGCAGGTAATAAATGTTTTTTGTTTCCTATATTAAGAACAAATTTTTTAATGTGTCTTTAATTTAATTTAATTCAATTTAAAGTTCTGAAAGAACTATTTAACAATGAAGTTAACTTTGATGATGAAATTACTAAGCTTTCTTTTTGCTAAATATCTTACTCTGTTCCTTAAAATAGAAGTGATAAAGGGGAAGTATTACTTCTTCAAAGGATCTATTACAACTCATTGAAATATGAGATCAGATGCCATAAACGATATTATTTTTCATAAATAAACAACAATCAATATTACTGATCGATGATAGATTTATTATATCGAAATCACCAATGGAATTAAATTTTCTTTTTTGTTCCCAAGGGTAGCAAAATATGCTCGAAGTGAATTGCAATTTACGGAAGTGCTAGTATGGAATGATATGTTCGGTGATATTGATGTTGATTTGTTGAAAAAATACCAAATGGATGAACTGATTGTTCCGGTTATTTGGGGTTATGCTGTTAATGTTACTAGATTGAATTACTTCCCAAGAAATATGTTTAAGAGATACTCTCAGGTTAGGTTTTTTTCTCTAAATTCTTAAAGTATGGTATATGCTTAGTTAATTTATTGATTGTTTAATTCATGATTTGATCGTTGTTAAAATGCGCAATTGTATTATTGCTAAAGCTTAGTTAAATAATAAATTAAATTAAATTCTAGGTTTTTTCAAAAATGATGTTTGCAAGTGCATTCAAAGGTGCAAATGGACAAAATGAATTATTTTGTTACATTAAACGATATCTTGCCAATCAGCGATCATATGTGGAGTTGTATAAGAAACAAAAAAAGGTACTGCTTATAATTTTGTCGGGAAGCATCAGAAATTTTTGAAAATAATGTCTAAGATTAAATGAGAGAGAAAGCTTAGAGAGTAAAATTGATTAATTATTACTCGTGTAAATTATCGATGAAATTCTGTTTTGCAGTATTTGCATGGCAAAATTTCGGGTATAATTTTAACCGGTTGGCAACGATATAGTCATTACAGCCCATTATGTGAAATTTTACCGGTTTCAATCCCATCATTGATCGTTGATCTTGTTTATTTAAATAATATCGAATTGAGTAAAGATGAAATAATAGAGAAAGCAAAAGTAAGTTGCCTGTAATAAATTATTCAAACGTATGAATTCAATTTAAATCATCAAATTGTCATTTATACAAATATAAATTGAATTTCTAATTATTATTTATATTTCAAAATAAACCGATTCCAAATTTAATATATTATTTATTATCATTTTCAAAGTGATCTGAGTTAACTTGTTTATTGTAATTCGTGCTGTTACTATTGGAAATAATACTACTGAATCTTCTTAGTTTCATATTTGAAGTAAAACTTTAGAATATACTTAATTGTCGAAATACTATTGCAAAGAGCTCAGAGAAAAGTATCATAGCAGCAATAACGGATTCGATAAATAGGACTAATAAGATTTCACTGGAGATGATGTTCAGGAATTGCTCATTTCCAGGAAGTAAAATTTATGATGAGGTATCTTCTGCTCTAATTTTAAAATTCTAAACACTAACGATTCCGATATCTTTACATTTATAAGTACCGGAAAAATTTACCTCTTATATTTATAATAATCGGAACAGGGAATATTATTCAATAAAAACTAGACATCCACATTTCAATAGATTTATATTGATAAATACGGAAAATAAGAAAAAACCAATAATTTTCACTTTATATAATCTTCTCCTGTTTTTTATAATTATTTTGGATTGCAATTCATAGTATTCCTTTTGTAGGTGGCAAATCTTCAATGGTACATAACGACAAGAAAACAGTCACCCTCATATCTTCAAAACACATGTGAAAATGTAAGTTTAAAAGAATTAAATAAAATGATCGAATGAATGGATAAATTGTGTAAGATTCTGTCATAGTGAATTCCTAACATTTTATCATTTTGATGATATCGAAGAATTGTCAAAAAAAGTTCATATCATTTCAGATTGGTGCCTTACTTCGTCCATATTTTTATGAGGAATCAGTTAATGAAATAGTACAAGAACAGCTACTTAAATACTTTAATAGAACTAGTAAGTGTTTATAATTTATTGAATTTTTTGAAATTTGAAAAAAAAAGTGGATCAATACTACGGCTATATTTGATTTAGATTGCTGAAATGGTCGAACAATGATCGAGAAATGAACTCTGCACATTATTAACATGTAGCAGTTTTTATTTTTGCCTATCTTTGATTAAATAAAATCATCAAGTATTATTGATTGATTGGCATGAATCAAATTCGTATAAATAACATTTCACTATGTATAGTTCTCAGTGAATTCATAATTGTGAACAGAGAATCAAAATTAAAGAAGTATCGAGAAGTCACGTGTCAGTGATGTTTCTATGGAATAAACCACAAAACTGATGATTATGCAACTATACCGGAGTTTCAATAGGGTGATACTTCTCCATCTGACTATTTACTCATTTTGAATATTTGAAAAATTGCTGGATAACCGAAATCTCCAAAGAGAGTACCACGTTAGTTTTAAAAATTTATAGTCTCATTGCTTTCTGCTCTTTCAAGAACACTGTTATAAATACTTACGCAAATAATTCCGAAAATTTTACATTTTTATTTTTGTTGAATCACAAAAATTACGTGAATTAATTGTTTCATTTTTCCTGAATGCTATCTTTTGTTATTGTTTTGATTTAAACGCTTCTATGATTTTACCACTGATTACTTTTGTACTTTATCATATACTTTTATATATTATGAAGTGAATATTTCTTGCTCAGTTGTTATATTGCGTAATAATAATAACAATTCGTTTGAAACCTGAAATGTTTATTGAACCGAACCTATCAATCCATTTTTAAAATTTGGAAACTCCTCTATACAACTTTCTTTTCTCGCTACCTTTCGAGCTAACTTTAATATTCTCTCATTCCTTATATAATGATGATGTAGTACAAATTGTCCACTTCGAATCCAATTCATTTTAATCTATTCATGAAGCGGATATGGTCCAACGAAATATAGCTAGACAATTTGAAAAGGCTTTCCGCCAAATTTTTGCTGTTTTTGAAATTAAATAAATTTTACTTCCTTTTTTAACTTTACGAAATTTAATTTTTTTTTTCAAATAAACTACGATGTTGAAGTGATCATTGTTGCAAAAATTGCACAAATATGCAAAAATTTTTAATATCACTTGTATAATACATATCACCATAATTGTTGCTATTTATTGATGTCACGCTAAGTTAGTTTGTTTTATTGATGTAAACTGGATTCCTTGTTTTCACTTCTTTCCTACAATACATCGAACAAATTTACTGAGTATATTTTTTCACCAATAAACCGACATTTCTGATGAAGTAATAATCTCCTAAAAGTATCCCAAATGATAATTTTTTTTTAAGGAGTTTGAAGTGTGTAAAAGAGTAGAAGTGATGTAGAGAATTGATAACAATATATTTACAATTCTCAAGCATATCGAATTGCTCAAATTGTAAAAATTCATTAAAATGTAAACAAAAAACTGAAACTTATGAAACAGCAAATTATTTAAAAAAATATATATATAATATATACAATATAAATTGTTGCTGACAGCACAATAACATTAAATGTGAAGGAAATGAAAACGAGGCGTAGACGAAAATAATTTTTGCACATTAAATATAAACATAACTTGATAATAAAACTCAGAAATAATTATATTGGGGATCAGAAAAAAGAAATTTCGACGGGAAATTTATTATGGAACAATGAAGTGCAAATGTGATACATATCTTTTTCCTTTCATTTGCACCCCTTCTTCGAATGTTTTGCGCATTTGCAATGAGAAAATGATGAAAGGAATGTGAAATGAAGAATTTTGAAAAAGGAAAAAGTTATATTTATAATGCTGCATTTTAATTAGAAAAATGACATATGAAGTATTAGATACAGAAATAATTTAATAAGGGTAATTTTACTATTATCTGCTAATTGGCGTATTACTTAAATATGTTTAAAAAAAGAAGAGATAATAATTTATGGCAACGATGTAACATATATATATAAATAAAAAGTTTTTGTTTCCTGAGCTTCAAGAAGGCAAGAAACATATGCCTTGGAAAATGGTTGCAGGAAGCCACAAATGTCGATTTCAGTAAGATAGCTCCGATTAAACATTTGAAAAGAGTTAATAACATTTTACTACCAGAGAGCTAACACGTTAATCAAAAGCAAGCTTCTGAAATCAATTTCAAATAACAAAATATCAAATTCCTAAATTTTAAAACAGGAGCTTCGAGTAACATAAACCTGAATTTCTCGCTTCGTAATAGACAGCTTCCAAACAGTTTATTAATACATTTTAAATTTTGCAAACTTTGAAAATCAAAAAAAACCATAAGTTCAATTTTTTAGCTTCAAAACTCCTATTTGTTAAATTTTCTTGAAAATTTGCATTAAAAGTACAACCGCGCAGCCGTATTAAATAATTCCAAGATATTTTATACACATCTCATTCTCGCTCCCTGCACCACAATTTTCATCACAAGGCAATGAGAAAAAATAATGAATGAGAAAACAATTTACAGCTTTACTGCTGTTGTACTTGAATATCATTCACAAATCGTTGTAATTCCGCGTTCGGATTCATCGCTACATTACTAATATCCATTTCTTCCGGTGTTGCTGTTATTTCGGCTTTCAAAAGATGCAAATTCTCAGATAAATTACTGAGAAGAGTTCGCTGACGTAATTTAGAAATTTTTACTGTTGCATTATCGCCAATTTCATAAGAAATGATAGCACATCCGATAACTTCACCACCATGTAATTTGTTAGACAAATACCAAATATTCTTTCGAATTGTTGCTGGACCAATGGTATTACCATGACAATAATATTGACGATGCAGGATATAATCGTAATCGTGTGGTACCGAATATACTTGTCCATATTGCTTTACATGCCCTATCACTTTACCTTTTTTCACCATATATTTCCGGGATTTCATGTGAGCAGTAAAACGGCACGTCCAACTTCCTAAAAATTAGTTAACCAAACGATATTATAATGAACATTGAAAGAATAAAATAATACTGAATGATAAAAGTGATGTAGAGGATATGTGTACTGCTTACCTAAATTATCAGCGGTAAGATCTTTCAGCGGTACTGTTCGCGTGTCGACAAGAAATGAAATTTTTCCACCTTCTTTTCCAAGAAATATGCTGGGTACTTTTTGGCAAACACATGCATTACTAGAACAAATTAGATTTAAAAAAGAACACTTTCAAAACTTTGATATTTAAAATGTTGTTTTCATCTTAACGTTTTTGCAAGCTCTGAATATGCTTATGAACTTTGCAGATGCATGTAGCGATATAACATGAACTTTGTAGTTTTCCTCAAAATTTACTTTTTTGAAGCAATATAATGAAAATGGTACCTTCCAGGTTCTAACATTGACATAATTGGTACTGCGGATGCGGTATTATAATAGACATAATTGTATGCAGCACAATCGCTCGTCGATTCACGTGCCCGTGGTTCGCTTGGTTGCCTGAAAATGAATTTCCTTTGAAAATTTTCTAAAATAATTCCCAAAAAAATTTGAGTAAACGTTTGAAATAGCTAAAAATCAAATGCAACTTACTCGACAAAATCTTCTGGATTTTTGGCACCAACTCCATCTTCCATATACATTTTACCTTTATTTAAATCATAAGCAGTACCAGCATTTTCCTAAAAATAAATTTCAAGTGAGCCTAAGCGATCTTTTGAAAGATATCGATCGATGTTACTAAAATAAGGTTGCATATTAAACATTACCTTTTAGAATAATGTATGCTTTAGAATAATTTTAAAAATATTTAAATCATTCCAACTTCTCATTATTCATTGCGTACGAATTTAGAGCGGTGGTACTTTTTAAGATAAATATCTTAGCATAAGGCAGAGACATGAATATTTGGGATTATAAAATGTACAGCATACCTTTAGAAACTGCTGCAACTGTGCATTTTGTGCAGCGACTGCAGCAGCCGTAGCAGCATCTGCACATGCAGTTCCACCCATCGTTACTGCTACATTACTTGTCGCTGCATAAACTTCCGCTAAAATGGCACTCTCCGATGGATATGCAACAACTGTTGCCGGTGCAGTGATAGAAGTTGTAGCTGTAGAAGCTGCATGCAACTGTAAGGCATTCGTATTACCGCCATTTGCTGCGACGGTGCTGCTACGAAGTCGATTCAGTTCATCATATATGGGTGCCATTACTTCGGTCATTACACTGCGTATCTCGGTAACCACCTCACGAACTATTTCCTTGACCACTGGGACAATCTGGGCGCGAACTTCGGTTGCTATTGCTACTTTCAATTCATCGCTTAGTTCAATTTTCCCATCTGCGCCATTTGCAACCATATGACCTGGAAAATTACCGATAATGAAGATTATAAAAAAATTCGTTGAAGTCAAAATAAAACTTCTAAAAAAAAGCTATCGAGAGAAAGAGAAAGAGGGTGAGCGATAAAGAGAAAATATCAGTTTATTCATTCCTCAATTCAACGTCATCTTAATAATTAGCCGATAATGACTTTTATCAAAAAATTATGGAACGAAAGATGCTTATGAACGACTCAACCAATAAGTCAAGGAGTTAGACGGAAATAATAGAACAATTCGTCGAAATCTTGTTATAATTTATATAAAAATCTATTTCAACGGAATACCGGAATGAAACCGGATAAATATGAAGTGTCACTTATTGTTAAGCTTAGAGCAACGAAAAATTAAAAATCGAATTAGCGAGCAACGCTATAGATGCACCTGCTTAATCGCAAAACCTTTTGGAATTTAGCTTGACCATAGGAAACATGTGGTCACTTGACATGAATAGAACGGACAGAATGACAGCAAAATGAGATGCAGTTGATATATCAGAAATTTTGAACTTCTGAAAACTGTCTAACGCTAAGTTTTCATAGAGATTTCAACTTTGGCAATGTGATATCAATATATGGAAATATATAAGTCCACGGACCTTTCGGCATCATCATAATGGCTGTTTGAAATTGGAAATTACGTCCAGGATCAGTGGTTTTTTTGATTTTTTGAATTCCAGAAATAAATTGCACGTAACCGATATCTAAATTTAACAAAAATCAAAATTCATTCAACAAGAAGTCAACGACTTAGCAACATTTGACATGAAGTAGTAATACTTGAAGTCCTTCTCGGTGACAAGTTTTTCGGGATATCCCCCTGACTTTCACTTCCACATCCTATAAAACACTACATAAGCAATAATGCGCGCACACACACACACACACACACACACACAACGCTGCACACCACATAAGCGCACACACACCCACATATACATATATATACACATATACATAGATCATATGTGCACACACACACATACACACACATACACACACATGCACATCGTCATTCTTTGATGGACAGACAACAAAAAATCCACACAGCCAGCATGAACAGACAGACAGACAGATACACAGACGGACAGACCCACAGACAGACAGACCACTCTGAACGAGCAGGCCTACCGATATGACACACTAGGGTGCACGCATATACGCACGCATACATATCACAGACAGACACCCACACACACATATACATGACACATGTGCACACACACACACACACTCACACATACACGCATACTCTGAAAACAAACTTGCAAAGATGTATATGCCCATCCGCTTATGAGGATTGGTACATACATATAGACACACACATACATCACACATATATGTACGCATACACACATACACATACACGAACATACATCATATATACATATACTTGCTCATATACACACACATACACATACAGGCATACTACACACATGCACACACCCATATACACACCCATCCACCCACACAGAGATACATATATGACATATTACATCTAAGTTTGTAGACAAACTACACACACACCTGAGGATAGAGGGCAGACAGACACATGTGCACAACACACACACACACACACAATTCGTACCCATAAGACTTGATCGATTCGGCGGATGTTTTCAAGAGTTTTTTTCCGGATCGAGTTGAAAGTTAAGAGAGATGTATGAATTAATAATAGCGTGACTGGACGGTGGTCAGTTTGCATTTTCTGATTATTATGGCTGATGGAAGAGAATAAGCCAAATCATTTATAAAATCTAAGCACCATCTGACTTATTTCAAATGAAGCTAATACGTTTGTCCTATCAGCTGAAGTTAACATGAAGAGCTAACATCGAAATGGATGTGACATGAGATTTTTAAGACAGGTGGAATTCAATTTTATGGATTTTAATCACTCATAAAACCCATTCAAATCGTATAATATCTTACAATTTACATCGAGTAGGTCAAAAATTCAAATAATTTAGTAGCCTGGGGCCAGTTGGAAACCTAACGTACTATTTCATTGGGGTAGCAATACATTCCGTCTATCAGATCGCGCTGCTTTTCAAACAAAATCACTTCGGAGTTAAAATGCAGTTGCTGGGATTCGCAAAAATAAAAAATTGAAATCGCTCGCGACATTTTGCACAGCTCGCTCGCTTTAGATATGACTTAGTATAACCCTTTCTCCGGATTTTCAATCCTGCGTGTAAATTTCTGGAACACCACAACGTGTACTTCAATAGCATGTGCTGTTTAATGATATCGAAAGATGTCAGCCTGCATTCTTTGTTTCACAAGATGTATGGAGAGGTCAGTTTTGAGGGAAGTATAAATGGATGATGGGTTACTTGGTTCCTTGTTCTGAGGATCTGCTACTTGGTTCTATGTTCTGAGAATCTCTCACGAATCTCTGGATTAATAGAAACGCTAATAACCGAACGTATGCTATTCACATATTGATTTTCTAAATAATCCGAAAAATTCTGATAGGCAGTAAATTCGTAAGAAATTTGGAAAAATTCAATTTGCATTACTGCAAACTTTTACCGATGATTGTACGCACCTTTCATTTCGTTAATCCTAAAGTTACACAATTTGGAATAGTTATTGAAAAAGATTTCCGGTTTCAGAATCAGTTATTAACTCCTTTTCCCTGAATGCCATCTGTTACGTGGCTCATCAATAAAAAGCGTACATTTTTTGACATTTTTTGACAATCATATGAAATATATAAAATCGCTATGATCATCGATCCTCAGCTTGCCACTATCGACGTTAAAATGTTTCTCTGTTTTGCAGGAAGTTTTGAAATAACTTATTTCTTTTCATCACTATATCATTTACTCTATACGCATTCCGTTTTATTCACTAAATTACGTCTCCTTCCACGTTAACGTTTAGAATGTGTTTTCCATAGAACATAAAATGTTTGCTTTCATTACGAGAAGCAACTCCACTGATTAGAAAAAGCAGGTATTGTGACGATATATTAAAAAAATTTCTCATATTTGCATTAACCTAAAAGTTTAAATGGCGCTTTATCAAGATTTCAAAATGGTTGCGATGGAATCTACACCTTGCCAATTTAACCCGATTCCGAAAATTTGACTTCAGAAGATTCCAATAAATGATAAATGCTTTTTAGTAGCTTACCTTTCGAATAATAAAGACATGATGATGAAGCCTCTGATATCATTATCTGTTCCGTTACAGAACAAGCACCTGGATGCCAATACTGCGAAACGTTTCCAAAATTCAGAAAAAAATTAAACTTCTTGCATATAAGGTATAGATTTGGGCGTGGAAGGATCGATCTCTATCGAATTTTAAGATCGTGAAATTTTATTTCTAAAAAGCAAGTTATTAAATGTTTTCTGTGTATTGAAATTCGTTTCAGGTTGATTTCATTTCCTTTCATCCCTTTGAAAAGTGCTAAATAAATGTTTTTTAATGATATAGAGCATCAAATTTTGCAAATCTATAACAATGCACGGTAGCAGTTGGACACGTAGTTTTCCAACATTCGATCGATAACTGCATGTCAATGAATGTTGGAATATAGCACTACAAACTTTTGATATTCCGCAGATTCAATCGAGTAGGACCGATTATAACCCAGAGCTCTAAAAACTTACGCCACTTTGCAATAATATGCGCCGTATTTTTATTCAGTAACATACTTGCTACTTTGATATTTGGTACCAAATTAAAACTTTTAAATCTGTTTCTTAATTCGTCATCCATATGAAAGGCTGAAAAATTCATCGCCTGACAATGGTGATTTCCTACAATCGCCAACGATTAATAAAGATACTTATTTCCAGATAAACCACTCACATTTTGCCAACAAAGTAAACACTTGAAATTGAATTCCAACTGCCCGTATGTATGACTTCCTTTGATTCTTCTATGCTTATCATATATAAATCTATATCAAGACCTTTTTTTAGCGATAATCACCGTTCTGCAATAATTTGACTTTTGTAGCAAATATATATAGGAAAAATGATTACAGTGCCTGCCATCAGTCTTCCCTGGGAAAACCATTTCCTCTGAAAAGTTTAACACTTACCTAGAAGTGTAATTATAAATAATAAGCAGTATCACGCACATCACATCCGCGTAGTTCATATTACATCCAAAAAATGGTATCCTACATCAAAACCTTTAGTGGTTCTCCGCTATCTTTGAAACTGCCAAGACCTCTCTAGCTTTATTTTGTAAAATATTGACCAACAAGAATTTATTTTAAAAATTACATCACTTCACATCAATGCAGAGAAAAGGAAGGAATCAAGCAATAAATTGGAAAGCAAAAAAAATTTCACTAATGTGGGCGATGTGATTAACGAAAAGATAGAGATCGATGCATATTTCACCTCTATTTTAAATAATAATAATATTAGGCAAATCAGCTTATCAAACACGTGTACGTAAAATAGTACAAGATAACTCCTTTGCTTCTGATAACTTTTTCTTTCCAACAAATAATTTTTTGCCAGATGCTCGGTCATTAAGGAGAGTGCTGTACATACGCCAATCAGGATTTTCGTGATTTTCTTTCACTACAAGAAATCCCCAAAAGGTCCAAATTATGACAGTCTAACCGTAATTCGGGGAATTTACGAGAATTGCTCCCTTTTCTGAACAATAAATGACAGGGAAACATGTTATGAAATCTTGATAAGATTCAAACGACAGAGATTTAATTTAAATAAATAAAAAAACGAAAGGGATAAAAATGAACTACAATGAAATTTCGACCGAAACACAAATTACCCCGTGTAAAACTGAAACTTAGAAAACTGAACACCAAAAATTTCAAGATCTTTGGGATTACATTAGCATGTTTTTATCCAGTTCCACTCCAGAAATGGATGAAAACATGACGGTGTAATCTCAAGAATCGGAAGAACGACAGAGAAGATTTAACAGGAATAGGATGTCATCACCTGCCAAAAAGACTTCGAGACGAACAATTCACTCCGATCATATCATAGTACGATGATTTTGAAGAATGAAAAATTATAGAAGCAATACAATGAATGTTTACCAAAAATAAACAATACGATTTAAGACAAACTGGAACAAAAAGGTTTCCAAGAAAATTTGAACCAGAAGAAATCATCTAAAAAATCACAAAAAACTTTGGGTTATTATAAAGGGTATAAGTTATTACAATCAAGGAAATCAACATAACGATCGCCGTTATTATTATATCATCGTCTATAACTGAGAATATATAAGTATATATATTTTCATATCATTTTATCATAGCTTATCATAATTGGGGAACAACAGCATTCAAGCCACTCCCTTTTCTTCACCCTTTGTATCATCCTTCTTGTCTTTCTTCATATCTGAAATGGATGAAATAACCGTACAAAATTATCCATGCTTCCGTTCCATTCAAGCATGAAGTCTAATTCTTCTTCCAAGTCACTGACATCCAAATGTTTTACAATGAAGCATGTTTAAAAAGGTATGATCGCGAAGCACGACGAAGGGTGCAGAAATTTAAATGTCCCTTTCCCACTACACTATTTTTTTTGCAAGATTTCTCGAAAATTGGACTAATATTTATAAATTTTGCTTTGATTATAGCTGCTTGAATACTGCTTGCATCATTTTGTAAAAAGGCCCAGTTCTCCATTTTGAGTAAAAAAGATTTAGAGCCGTCCAGGACTGTTTTCGAATTCGTTTTTTCAAGGATTTTTTCGTAACTTCTAAAGACTTTTTCAAAAATTTCAAAATATTTAAAACTTGGTTGACTGCCTGGTCTGCTTTGTGCGCAAATACGTAACAAACTATAAACAGAGAAAAAAGTCCATATCCTAACAAACAAATTAAATTCAATTCGTTCACATTTGCGGATATTATACACTATTCTTTTGATGCACATCATGAGGCAGAAAGCATACAAAGTTTCCTTTGTTAAAACAAATCTACAATAAAAATATCAGTTACTTTCAAACGCCCAAGTACGAAGTTCGAGCAGTCAAATAAAGATCAAAGCTCATGAATCATATTTCAATGTCCATATCACAGGTCATATTTACTATCCTTAATGGCAACAAACACCTACTGGAATAAGTAAAAAGCCTTAGATCGGAAGACAATATCCACAGATAAAGAGTTATCAAATTCAATGAAGGCAATAACTTTCTAGAACAGTCACTGGATGAATTCATAAACTTCAAAAAATGCCAATTTAATGAGATGTACAACCGGAGTACATTTTCACAAGCAGAGGGAAGTACCACAGATTACAAATGGTAACTTCGAAACCTGGACATCTAAGCCGCACAAACAATCGAAGTACACTACTTCGCAAATCCCTTGTATAACATTTATTAAAAATAATACGCTATAAAGCGGTACTCAAAAAGCAACTTTTTTTTGCTCAATTAACTAAAAACTACTTTAAATTGATTAACAAAGGAATACTTCAGAATTTTCTCCCATCCTCCCCGCCCCAGTGATAACAAAAATTAGGAACATGGAATTTCTCAAACTCCAGTTGAATTTCAAAAGAAAATAATTGAACTGATTGTGCTTTTTGTGTCACATTTTCTGGAACAAACCTGAAATATAGTAAGTCCTATGTAATGCATAATGAAGAACAAAATGATTAACACAAATACTAGCACCGCAATAGAAACATAAAGCAAAATAACCCAAACATTCCCCAGGATAATTCGTATAAACTGAATTGTAGAAAGAATTAGGATAGATTTAGGGATCATGAGGAAAGAGTAGGATTCACTGAGTAGGTTTGAAATTCATAAAAATAAAAATTCCATTTAAATTTCCAAAACCAAAAAGGAACCGTGGAAGCACCAACAATTCTTTTAGAAATCTCCCAACATAGACGCAGAGCCAAAAAATTCCCAAAAATTCCAACAACTTTTCCTGGATTCCTGTGATAAATTCAAATCTTAGACCATTAAACGCTAATAATTCTGCCAGAAAAGACTTACAGTTCATGAGAAATTCATCCTTAACTTGCCCTGAACTGATACAATATAAAAATACGTATTTCTGTAACACATGTGCTTTCCTAGTGCAATTTTACTAACTTATTTGAAAGAACCTTTGAAATTATAAAATTATAAGATTAAAAAACGATTCGCGGAAAACGCGAAAAAATTCGTTAGAAAGATAGAGAAATTACAGGCACAAAAAGTCAAAAAAACAAAAAGACCAGCACAGAAATGATGTGATACGCGCAGTAGGACTCGAATTTAGGGAAGGATAAGCTTCTGCCCAGGAACAGTAGCATATATATAAGGAATTAATTGACCATTATTTCAGAGACGAAAAAAAGAAATGTGATGAAGCTTTTTTTAGGAAGTTCCGAAATAAGAGCAGAAGAAAATCAAAGTAAGGTGCAATATTATGTAGCCTGCAGTGTTTTTTTTTCAGTTTTATTATACTTTTTCGATGTACTAAGAAAGAATTGCATCAAAAGTAGTTCACGATCCAGAACCAAACAAAAAGTATTTGCTTTTTTCAATACCTTTTCGACGATTCAAAATCAGTCTCAGCATGTTGCTTACATGTATGTTTCAAAATATGTGCAAATCTAGTTGAAATTTTGAAACAAAGGAGAGCATACTTCAAAATTCCAACTAAATTGGCAAATATTTTTGTGTTACCTTTGAAGGCTTGCTTCCTAATGATGTATGACCAAATGCAAATAGATAATCCAGTTACTGTTTCAACATTATCACTCTCTCTACCAACTGATTCAACCTAAATTTCCATCATATTCGAAGACAGTTACTAATCACTATAGTTTCTATTAATCGATGAGAGAAAAACTGGTTATTGTTATCTAATAAGTATCAGCTCTAAGTTTCTGTTATGAATGACTGGTTGGCAACGCAATACCGCAAACAATATCAATACCGAAATATTCAGTGTGAAAGGGGACTTCGAAAAAACTAAAAAGCTGATTACATGATAGCTTTCAATCATTTAGCCGATAAAAAATGAAATTGAATTTAAATTTGAATGAAAACTCGAGCAAATTCACCAATGAATGTTACGTTCTAGGCTCAAAAAGAAAGCAACATGCAAAGACAGATACAATTTGATAATCTTGGAAAAAGAGTAGAAATGATGTAAAGAGTTTTGCTGGCATAAAGAACAAAACGACGTACAAACTAACCGACAACCTCACCATCATCGAGGCTTGCATTAGAATCACGCGGACGTTTGCGATCATTTAAAACATTTCCGCTTCCACTGCTGCTAGCACCATTATTACCACTACCATAGCTATTTCGAATGTCAGGTAAACGGTCGATTGCGAGCACTTTATACATTTGATTGAATGCGATGAGACGCAATGCATGCTGTGAACTGGATGTGATATCTTCTCGCTGCTGTCCAGTAAGCTCCGCAAGCACATCAACTGATTGTTTCTCACACGGATCAATAAGTCCAGGGCCACCTTTAAAATTAATTTACACTTTTAAAATTAAAAATAGTTTATATAAAAATATGTCCCAGCGGTTAATCTGACTAAACTAACCAACCCAGTAATCATCATGTAGACTTAACCATCTTCAGTGCCATCTATAACGATATCCCCCGCATTAAAAAGACCAATGTTAATAAACTTATTTTAAACTGATACTATCTTTAGTCAACTAATTGGATAGTTATGACTTTGGAACTACTTTTGATTTTTTCACTTCTTTTGCTCTTAAGAGCAAAGATTTTCATTCTAACAAGTAGAAATTATGCTTACTTGAGAATAAAATACCAGATGCAACAGCTTCAAAAACGCGACGGACGGCATCACCGGGAGACAACGGAGCACCAAGAGATGATAAAACCTTCTCAACCAGCAGCTCTGTCATCTAAAATGGAATCAATAGGGTAAAACAAAAAAATAATGTTGAATCACTCAACAACACCAATTACAAAGATACTTATCCCTAAGCACGATTAGAATATGTGAATGAATACTATAATCTGTATTAGTTATTTAGTTTCTCCAGAAGATCACGAGCAAAACGTCAGTTTACTCACCCAAGCTTTCAATGGCTGCCACGTTTGTACACGTTGACGAACATCGCGTAATATGCGTAATGTTATTGCAGCGGACTGTAAGTTTGAACATCTAACCTGAAACAATACTAAGTAAGCTAACGAGCATAAATGGTAGACAAATAATTTTAAGTGTTCAAATAATAGTTTGAAGAGAATTTCCTTAAACTTCAACTAATTTTTAAATTTCTTATTTAAGTGCTTTGCCGAATTTTTAATCGGATCATAAGCAATAACTCAAATATTTTACATAATTACTTTCGCCGATCAGATCATATAATGCACACATGCGTTTTCTTGTACATCGAAAACACCTTGAATACCATTTAGCATAGAATTCTGCGCATGTGTAGTTCAAGGTATGCACAAAGATTAATGGGAATACATAAGCTACAGTCTTTGCCAAATGTTTCGCCGGAAACAGGTGACAATGACCTTACAAAAAAAGAGAAAAACTGTGCAGCAGCAATTTAAGGGTCGGAAAATTTCCCATAGCTAATATTCAAATTCTCAGATTATTCAATGCAAATTGATATAAATCACAATTCAGTGCAATCGGGATGGACCATGGCTCTTTTTACTTCCCTCTGTTCAATAAAAATTCAAGTTTAGAAAAAAGCAGTTTCTGATGAAATTCTTAAATTTCTTCCAATTGTGAATTCGAATGCGCAATATTTACTTTTAATTGCCTAGACACCCAGATCATCGCGCGATATAACTATCAACTACTTCGTGACGCAGAAAACTTACTAGATAATTTTCCAACCCTATTTCAAAAATCACAACACATACCTGGAACCATTTGGCGTGTCTCAGTTCAGCCAACGCTTCCAGGCAAGGGACCTTCGGCAGAGGATCCTTTGGCGGTGCAGCTTTCGCGCCTGCCGCTGCCGTAGCTCCATCACCTTCTGATAAAGAAATGAAAGCAATAATAGGAAAGGAAAAACGCATTCAAGCAAATTAAAAACGATGAATATCCCTAAGTTTTCAAATCTTAGGAGTAGAGATTGCAATTCACTAGGGAAAACCATACAGGATATTCATGGTTAAAGAAAGAACGGGATTCTCTCTCCTTTGACAAAAAGTACTCAAAACTTTTTCCAAAAATTCTGCAGTCTTAAATGTAACATGTATTCTTCTCCTTAAATTATAATCAAATTATACTGTCCCGTTCTGCAAACTGAGTTACCAGAAATTCACTTCCCCCAATTTTATTCTTAGACCAGAAAAGTAATGAATTATGGTGGTAACTCCGCCTTTCGTTGAATGCGTTGGCTACAAAAACGAGCACACACATCCTTCTATTAATGGTTCTCAAGATCGATTGCTTGATATTTTAAAAAACACAAATTTAGTTTGAAAGACTAGTCAAAATAATGCATATTCCATTCAAATAATTTTAAATTAGATTCGGAAATCCAGATCCCACTATAAATATTGAGAACCACGAAAATTCATAAAATAAGCTTGATAAGGCAAGCAGAAATAACGGATACAGCGTCAAATCCAACAATAATAGAGAATCCGAGAATGTTAAGCTGTTAGGGGGAGTGCTGGAACTTCAAATACTTTGCGTTCTCAAATTTTAATCTAAAGATGAATCCTCACAAATAATTTAAAATAGATCCATCGTATCTGTGATGATAAATTACCAGTTAAGACTGATTACATCAAAATAGGTGCGTTAAAATTCAAAAAGCAATTTGATTAAAACTGAAACAAATATTTTTTTTCAAACACCATCCCTAACTCTACATTTGGAGACTGAGTGAAAACTGCATTTGCGGAGTTTTTCAATGGCCGTCACAACATTGAAAAGAAAAGAGCTTGTTCTATCAAGCAGAATAATGTGAAAATTTCATTCGGATTCAAATGCTAAACAAATGAAAATTTCAAATGCAAATGCTAAATTTCTTTGAGGAAAATCACACGTTAAACGCGTATATATTCACTTAAATTTTATGCAAAAACAACCTCCCGCTGCATGCTCTTCACGAAGTAGAACACATGTTAGTACAATACGACAAATTATATCCGAACTGGAATGTTTCAACAATAATGCACTTTCGTCTGGCTTTTCCACCACTGTTACGACTTCATTTTCACCTTTCTACAAAATAATCGAAAACTCCAGATTATTCTAGAAATGAAAAGCTCTAATTCAATGATGCCAATCGACTGTTCCAAAAATCCAAAAAATCTTTATCGTAAATCAATATAACGTAGTTAAGCGTAAAGATCTGGTAAGATAAACTCCAAGCCCTCATATACCAGTCATCCGATATGATTAAAATGTAAATTTTTATAAAATCAACTTCATTTAAAAATGTTCCCCATTATAATTAAATTAGAAAATACAATAAACTTCCAAAACTGAAATGAGATGTTTGTAACTCCTACCTCCATGACCTGCGGCAATAATCTCACTACTTTAGATAGCAATGTACGAGTTGGTGGTTGCGAGCACAGTACAACCAATTGAACCTTGAAATTGAATAATTCAATCCAGAAAATTCAGAAAACATAAAATATTGCATTCATAAAATATATATTAAATCATAAAAAACACGACGCAAACCCCCTTTATCTTATAATAATTCAACAACTACGATTTGAACAGTACGTTGCCGTATCTTTTTATTTCTCTAGTCTTTTTTATATAATCAACCTACTAATCTACAACAAACTATTAATACAATATACCTCTCTGTCAGTTTTCAATAACAAGCCTTTAGCTAGAAGACCAACACGCATAACTCCTTTTAGAATACGATCAGGTTGCTGTGCTTGGGTGGTGTGTGACACGATTCCGTCCTCTTGCGAGTCTTTTACTTCATCATCAGACTTCTTCGTCTCTCTGCAAGACAAATTTGATTTTCGAAGTAAATTTACTAATCAAAAAATTTTTAGGATTCTATAATAAGAAAAATTTTTTAGGATTCTCTATAGTAGTAAAATAAAATCGACAAAAAAAGAAAAAACCTACTCCTGTGTTAAGCTATCAGAAACAGCTTTCAGCGCCTTCTCAGTAATCGAAACAAGTTTTTCAATAGCAGTCAACTGCGATTCCTCTGGATAGATCTGTAAAAAAGTAATAAGTGTTCTAATCAAAATTCACTTCAAGTAAGCAAATGCCAGAGACTTTGAAGAAACACTCAAGCCCACAAATTCCTCTTTAAAATTCTAATTAAAATATTCAAAAAACAATTCAGGATGAATAAACAATTTTATCTGCGATGGCTCCAAAGAAGGTGTAGTATCACATCTTGACAATATTAGTATGACCGCATTTGCTAGTTAGCTGGAGCTAACTCATAGTTCCATGGATGCTCAAATAATCCAATAATAACTGCACCAAAATAGTTCTACCTTGCTTTTGTAAATAAAATGAATTCCTTAAAAAAATAAATGATAGAGACAAACCGAACGATGTTTAGCCATGACATGTCGATCTTCGACAGTTTCTACACGTCTTCCAGGATCCATAACTCCGCACCACGGACGTGCTGGTAATGGCATAAGCAGCGGCTGTGGGGCACCAAGCGGACGAGGCCTAAGCAAATTGCATAAACTCTAAAAGGATAAACAGACTAAACTCTATTTCTACTATACACTTAGCGCTTTCCAGCTGTATCAAATAACCACCGTGATGCAACGAAGTGAATTATTAAGACAATGTAAAGCGTACGGTATGACATGCATTCGTTGGGCACGCAGTTTACGTGCTATTTCATTACGCATTTCACGTGGAACTTGATTCGGTTTCACCTCGACCACCAAATTTGGATTGACTTTCATCTGAAATTCATGTGGTCCAATCGAAATTATTCAATATTTTGAGCCACATGTGCGCGAAAATAATCATTTAGCATGTTTAAGCGAATATTAATATGAAGTACAGCGGCGAATTAGGAATATTTAAAACAAAACCTTATATTGCAATCGATGTTTGCGTCCTTTGATGTGGATATTTTTGGCATTTGGATCACTGAATTTACAATCACATAGTTTGCAACTGTATTGGATCAGTTTGCCAGAAGCATTCCTTTCTTCTTCAACATAATCCTCTCCAACCGGTTGCACCTCTTTTTCGGCAGCCAGAGCAGCCTGGTTAATAAAAATGAAAAATTTTCGCAAAATTTTAGTGAAAAATTTACAGATCTACGTTAAACAACTTCAAACAACATTTCAAAACTTCAGATTAACTTTAAGCTATGCTATTAGTCAACCTCAACAGCTGCACTTTTTTGGCCCGATGCTTCAATGGCTGCTTCAGCGGCATTTGCAGCCTTTCGTGCCAGTTCTTGAGCTGTACTTTGCAATTTCTCACCGCCGACAAATTTGACAGTTGGTACACCGATAACCTATAAATAACATGCTGCTATTATATTACCAATAAGTGCGACAAAATTCAGTCCTTTTTCTTTTGATAGATACTTGACTAACACCTTTGCAATTCAACTTAACTCCTAAGCAATGTTAATCGCTTCAGAACTAATTCATCTATTCATAAAAGTCTGCTATAAGTAAAAGAAAGTTCGAAATGGATGAAATTTACGCGTTTTGTTGGTACAGCAGGACCACCAACTGTTGAAATTGGAGTACCACTGGCCGGTACTCCTGGTTTGTTCGACTTCTCACCAGGAGCAAGCACTGTTGGTGTCTCGGCAACTGGTTTTCCCAACTTCTTCATCAAATTCGCAGTCTAATAAGTAATACATATTCAGATGACATATTATAAAAACGGCAAATGAGAAATGAAGCTTGTTACGTACAAGAAATTTCTACGTTAAAAAACTTAAGATTAAAAACTCACTTTCTGATGCTTACTTCCGCGTACGTGAGATTCGTAAGTATCTTTGCCAGTGCAAGTGACGTTACACGTTTCACAACGAAATGAAACACGTGATTTAGATAGTGTTTGTCCCTCACCTTTTTGCATCGCTTCCTTCTTCTTGTGTTTTTGTCCGTCCATATGCTCTTTATAGGTCTGAATTAACAATTTTCATTGGACCGTTTTTCTAGGCGACCAGAAAAAGACGGAAAGAAACAATTTCTTGTTCGATTATAACGAGTGCTTTCAAAAAAAAAAAAAATCACAAATGATTTTTCTATTTTCTAAACTACAAAAGACAAATCTGATGACCAGATCAAAGCACGATATTCATTTTTTTTCACCTGTGCACCCGCGCAACTGATTTTACACACTTCACAATAGAATTGTTGCATATCAGCGGATCTTCCTTGCCCAAACCGTTTGTTTGAAAAAGTTCCACGACCTACAATAAATACTTTAATTCTAAAAATGTACGTATGAAGCTTTTCTGTTTACTTAAAATCCGTTATAAATTGTAACAATAAATCATTAGACTTCATTATTTCAAGTGGCAATCAGAAACTATTTCAAAATAAAAAACAAAATGCAAGATAATTGATTCATATTTAATCTTACATCTAAAGAAAAGATTGAAACACTAAAATTATGTGAGCACTAAACTAAATTTCTGCCAACATGCAAAAAGTTGTATCTAATCATATCTACTGAATCAATTTGTACAAATTTATTGATTATAAAATATATACGACAATTCTGCAACTCATGCAAACTTTTTTTATTTTTAAAGTAAATCCAAAAAATTATTGAAAGGAGTTTATTTGAAAGTACAGAGCAAAAAATCAGAAAGAAAAATTATTCGAAAGAAACATTAGAACTGCTAAAAAAAGGTTTACAAAAAGAGAAAATCTTTTTTTAAGAAAATATTCTTTTTACATTAAGCAACTTTTTCGTTCATTTTCTTCTCAATGCACCTTCTTCACACTACCCACCTCTATTTCCAGTGTATCCACCTCGTCCTGAGATACCGCCGCTACCACCACCGCCAGTGATTGCGATATTTGAGGAAGTGATGCCGGAAAACGGACTTGAACCACCATCATAACCAGTTGCGCTTGATTTCTTCGTTGCTCCCATCCAAACATTTGCTGCACCCGCTGCTTTCGATTGTAAGTAACTGCTTGCAGCTGCATATACTGCTGCATCGTAACTGTTGTAATTTGACGCTGCAAAGAAAGGTTTTTAAAATTTCCGAGTTTAATTTAAATGTACAAGCATTTTTTAAGTTTTAGAAAAAAACGAGGAATGATAAATATGAGAAGAGTAATAATTGATTTAGATATAAAAATCTGTAAGCAAAAAATTCAAAATTCAATTCATTTCCGTACTTGAAAATTTCTGAAAAATACTTGAGCTGCTTGTCCCGGTTGTTGATGATGTATTAGCTGGTTGGCTGTTAACCGTTGTGCCAATTCGAGTAACGCCTACGTATGAATTGTTGCTTGTTGGGTTTGCTGCAGCTGAAGCAGCAACAGCTGCCGCCGCAGCTGTACGTAAAGTATTTGTATACTCTACAAAACAAGGCACTTTTTAACTTCAAACCATAAACATTAAAAATTAAATGATATAATATCCCTTTTACGGGGTAATTAAATCTATATCTCTCGCCGTAAAGTTCCAAAGTTCAAAAGGATTAACCCTACAGTTACTTGTTTTTTACACATTTATTTTCTTATATTTATCTGTGTGCGGACTTACCCCATTTTATGGGGTTTTATGGGGTAAGTCCGCACAGATAAATATAAGAAAATAAATAGTTATGATTTATAAACATATGCTCAAATTCTAATAAAAATTCTACAGAGATATCGGTACGATGCAAATTGTTCTAAAAAACAAATAAGAAGAAACAAGCCTGATAACGAAGTGTAAGTACCGCCCGTTGAGGGGACTGAACCGACGGTACTATATGAATCCGTCAGTCGCGTTGCAGTATGCCCTGGATATGCCGCTGCAGATGCACTTACAACACCAGTTGCTGCTGCAGCTTGCAACTGTAAATTACTGTAGTTCTGCAAATTTTCCTAATATTAGTTTATTAGACGAGTCGAAATAACTATTAATTGATTAAATACAACGAACAAAATAAAGCACATATCAATTAAAATATCTAAATTATCGTAACTAAAAAAAAAAACCACAGCTTTCCAATTACAGCTTCCACATCCCTTAATCACGAAGGATATGCTTGCTGCGTCAAAAAACTTCTAATAGTCAAAAAATAATTTTCCAAAAATCCTTACAACCTGCTGCACTTGTTGCTGCTGTTGCTGTTGCAGAGATGCTACAGCCGCCGCAGTCTGCCCATACTGAGCATATGCCGCTGCAGCCGTAGGATTTGCATATGCAGCGTAAGGTGATGCCGTAGGAGCTGCTGCACTTGAAAAACTATAAAACACGCTTTATTTGTAAATTTAATTTTCAGGTTCGGTCACGAGTAACATATGACTCACACTAATGATGAGAACTGCTAACGTTAATCGGGTAAGATTTAGCCTTCAGTCAAGTCGCTTTGGCTATCTTTAATTGTCTGGAATAACTTATTTTTTTGATAAACGGAACTTTCGAACGGTTCTTCACCTGGCATAAACACTGGTCGGATTTGTAGCTCCTACAGCAGCACCAAGTGCAGGAGTATGTGGTGTTGGCTGAGACTGTACCGCTGCATTATAAACTGCAGCAGCGGCTGGTGAAGTTGCATAAGTTGAATTATAACTTCTGAAAATTGCACTAGTCTCTTATAAAATGAACAGAATAAAGCTCAAGTAGAAAACTGAATAGTAATAAAAGAGCAAATTTCGAAAACATTCTTCATCTATCATCAAAACTCTACTCTCTCTGGATCTGCTTTCATGCTTTAAAGTAATTTCTCAGAGCACTTCTCACTGTTTTCTTAAAAAGCAGACTTGTTTGGATTCTTATTCATACTTTACTTGTCCTCCATCATTACTTATGAACAATATTAATTGATCTCTATAACAACATCAGTGCATCTATCATATACTGTTCACAACAAAATCTGCCAAAATTTCAACAAGATTACGAGAATAACAGTCCTTAACTTTATCCAGCCGGCACATTAAAAACATCTAAATTGGTGCAGAAATTCAAAAATGGAAATAACTCATATAAATCACTGCAATAGCAATTCATTCCCACTTTATTTTTGTTAATTCCCTGATCATACGACGAAGCAACAACTCCCATTATTTTAGGAATGATTCACAACTTCGGTAATGATTCACAACGAAATGCCACTAGAAAGGTGCACCTCAAATGTGAGATACAAGCCATTTCTACTATTCACTTGAAAACTATGCTTATTACTTGAACTTCTACTATGCTTACTACTTGAAATAGCTATCCTTCTCGTTCAAGTAATGTTAGACACAGAGAGAAAAGAAAAACTTGCCCATATTGACTTTGACCCGTGAAGCTGTACATCCTATAATTATGAATCCTTGATTTTCCAAAAGACTCTGCCTTCCCCCGAACGAAATTAATAAACCTACAATCAGAAAAACTTGATGAAATTTTACACAAGTTTCACATTTCAAGCGATACCCACTCGCTTATGAAAAACATCGCGAACTCAACATCATTTTTGAAAAGTACAATAATCAACTTCTTATTCCTCAGAACAGTCTTGATCCACAGAAATCCAAATATCTCTTTCAAAACTTCCGTTAGTTTTTAATCCTCCGAAACTGAATCCCTCCCTCTCACTTGGCCCACCCCTCCAAAACCCAACGCTGGCTTGAAAAAATCGATATGCCCGACTACCGTAGCTTCCGTCAACGATCACTTTTTGCAGCCATAAATTCGTAAGTGTCGATGTCAATTACGGGAGAATAGTGGGACTTTCTTCGTCCCCCTCGCTTCAACATAGGAGTAAATCACAAGGGATTGCAAGGATAGCATTTCAATATCTTCATGTCAAACGAAATATTCTTCGCTATGATGGAAAAACATCTCCACAACAAAAGCGAAAGATAAGGGTATGGAAGTTCATCAAATAATAGTAAGATGTACTACTGATTACTAATTATGAAACTGCAAGTAAACAACAGATAAAAGGGACGTCTAGAAATAATGGAAAATTGGATGTACAAAACACGAGAATTTTTTGCTGTACGAATATGTTATTCGCCTGACAAATTTTTATTCCAATACAGTTAGTTAACAATCAAAGCAAAAACATTAATGACTTATAAAAATTACAAATCTCATTTCTTCTCAGCTTTAATTTTCGCCTTCAACACACGTGCAACAATTTTCTGTTCTTCGATTAGAAAAGCGCGAATAATGCGCTCTCGAACGGCTGCCGCTGATAGACAACCACCGTAAGCACGAGTCACATGCTTCAGCCGTTTTGTCATTTTTTGCAGCTGGCGTGGCCTAGCCGGTTTGATCTAAAACAAAGTGAAGACAAACTATTGCTTTCCAACTTTCAGTTAGATACATTCATAAAAATTTGCGACTATGTCCAATTTGGAGAATAGAAATATACTCTGAAAGTGAAATCGCTTGCTAAGTTATCCAAATTTGAACCTCCAGTTTTTCAATTAAATTTAACATTCCATTATGTCGTTTTTTTTTTTATGGAAGTTTGGAAAGTGGGAATCTGGGATATAAACACCTATACTCTGAGCTCAGAACTTTGAATTACAATATTGTAAGATTTTTTATATCATGTATAAACAGTAATGCTCAAAAGACGCCTACTCCTTTCAACTTTACTCCAGTATCACCACATCGCGCTACAGAACCTTTCTTTTTTCTGTACAGGAAAACTACACGTCCACCTGGTGTTTTGGATACCTGCAAAATATGTTAATGTTACAATAAAATGACGTTATTAGTTTGTGGATTGAAAAATTATTATCGCATATAAAAAAATTACCATTATACATCGGAACCAATAGCTTTACGAGGGGATTCCCTCTCAACCTGAGAAAGTAATGAGTTGGGCTGCATAAGACAATGAGAAATAAATATCCGGAAGAGAAACAGAAGATAATAATCCCACTTCATCCACATCGCTTCGTTTCTTTCATTACGCATACAATCTCAAAGGTCTTTAGGACTTGCAGGAAATATGTTCTGTGTTTAAATTACAGTAAAGAAAAACAATTACAGTACCTTGGTTTTGTTGGATTTGGTGTTATAACAGAGGCGTCGTCTGTATGTTAGTCGTTGCGGCATTCTTTAACCTAAAATAACTTACCTATTGAATGCTGGATGACTGATATAACTTTGGCACAAAACACAACCGCTAAACTCATCACTTTGTACTCAAAACTCTCAATAAATTAGTCCATCACCCACTGATCCCATGTAAAACATTCCCCACGAAATTACATAAAACAACCCGTGAAGGAACAACATTGCTCGCATGGGCCACTGGACCAATGGAAGTCATCATAGTACAATAACATCAAGATCACTATGAAACATTAGTCTCACTCATGTTACAAGAAAAAGAGACATAAAAATTTTTAGCTATGAATGGTTTTGTTGTGGGTTCACGTAAAATATGTTAAGAATTATGTCATATTTTTCAATATTATCGAAAAGTGCTCAAAGAATACCTATTCAATCGAAATTTGCACCGAAAAAGGCGCATGGTAACACAGCGAGATGCTAATTTGGATGGGAGTTGCTTCCATAAATTTCAGATACGTGGGCGATTTTGTGTTTTAATAGATCCAAAAAAATGCTTGGGAATGATGCAGTTGCGGAGGAAGGAAGAGTGGTGTGGAGCTCTGGGAATAACCTTTCAATAGGATATTGAGAAAATTTATCTATAACTACAGTTAAAGTGATAATTAAAGACATAGAGCTTGAAAGACAGATTGTTGATATTTATGATCTGGAAATATGTGTGCTTGTAACAGAAACCCACTCTATTCTGTTATCAGTTTTAAATTTTCTGCTGTTTTTTGCGTGACAAATGCTTGTATGACACGTAGTATTTGAAATTTTTTAATTTTTGGTTCAAGTGACGTATATTATCTCAGGAAGCTCCGGAATTATGTCCGGTACGCATTTTTTAATCGGAATATGTACCAAAGATTATGTGATTTTGGCAGCGGATCGTTCATGCTTTGCACATGGAGCGATTGTTGTTACCGATGGTTACTTTTTATTTTTACACGAATTCTGCAGCTTTAGATCACACTATCGTACTGAGTTGATTGGGAGTGGAAATAAGCGGAATCGAAATTAGTTTAGTAATAAGAGTGAAGAAGTTCTTAGTGCTTCAAATTTCTTGGCTCCTTCAGATTGTCAGGATCGTAAAACCAGCATGCTGAGATCATCCTTAAAGAGATAGTAGTGACATCAATATGCATTCAGTTGTGACGTTAAGGGGAGACAGTGCATTTGTTAGTCCTCTAAAGTTTATGAAATTGGTACAATATTCATAAGGACATTGGACAAACAGGAGGATGGTTAATCTGTAACAACATTTTTGAGAAATTTTTATAAACTTCGTTGGAATATCTCCAAAATCAGCAAATAAACTTCCTTATAGGATAAGGTTTTTTACAATGTCATGGAGTGTTTATCCATGTTTTGATTTGGAAAGGTAAGCAATATTTATTATGTTTTTGTTGACAGATGAGGAAAAGAAATTTACCTTGGGTGATAAATTAGCAATGATATGCATTGGCGAGGATGGTGATGTAGCGCAGTTTGGAGATTGGTGCAAACGAAATATTCAATTGTATAAACTCCGATATGGTAAGTTAAGTTATTTCTGCAAAGTAGCACACATCGGATAAAACATACTTTGTTTTTTTCGACTCCTCGTACTTTACTTGTGTTTTGACTTACTGCTTTTTGCCTTATTTGCATAACAGCTGGCAGTGTAGAAGTTATTGATATGATGGTCAACATTTTGTGAGCTAGTGTAGCGACGTTAACTTTCAATGCTACACATTTTTATACCAAAATGCAGTACCTAACGCATATGCGAACTGCAAATTTTATGTGTTATTTTACATTTTAACTGTTGATTAATGTTATAAGTAATACGGAGAGTTGGATTTTAGACCAGATTACTATGCGATTTTTTCCAAATGGTACATTGCAGGTTACGAAATGAGTCCACGCTCAAGTCATCATTGGATTCGTCGAAGTATTGCTGAAGCTTTGCGAACACAAGATTATTATGTTGTTGATACACTGATTGGTGGTTATGATAGCATTGAAAAGAAAGCCTTTCTTGGTTCCGTTGACTACTTGGGTAATGGCATTGCTGATCAGGTTAGTTGTAATGTAGGGATTGTATCATAGAACTATATTTATAATAGTAGAAATGGGTGAGAAAGATTTTGCTAAGCAAATTATGATTTCGCTTTGTCTTTCTGTCAGCAATCAAATCATTTGCTATCCAGTCCTATCAATGCTTATTTGTCACGCTAGCTCTCTATGAGAATGTTAAGTAAAGGGTACTGTGTACATTTGGTTCGAACTGTTTTCTTGGATAACGACTATTAATATTTTCAGCCTTATATATTTCGTGGATTCAGTGGACGATTCTGTTATGCAATTCTGGACAAAACGTATAGGAATGGTTAGTTTGTATGTTTAGAATGCTTTATTTAATATGTACAACTTATCAGTGAGACTAATGCAGGACCAATTTTAATGATAGTTTGCTCTCAGATATGACATACTCATGCTTCCTGGAACGATGCCAGTTTATTATACCATTAAATCTTATGAACACTTCAGACGCCGTTTCTTCAAGAATATTCCTTTATTTTATTTTGTTGAAGCCGTATTGAATTTTTCAAGGCTCTTTGTATTCAATATGGAAAACTTTTAATTTTATTTCTCTGATCTGAAATAATTTATGCTACGTTTAAAAGCAGTATCTCAGATTCCTTGTAGTTCTATTTCTGTTCAGATATGACTGAGGCCGAAGGAATGGATTTGCTGAAAAAGTGTCTGCATGAATCGAAACGTCGTTTCATCGTTAATTTACCATCATTTGAAGTAAGGATTTTCGATTTCACATTTTCAAATTGATAACCATATAATTAAGGTTTTAATGCAAATTAAATTTAAATATTGCAAAAATCCTAAGGAGTTCGAATGAAATCAGGAAAAGGACTTCCTTTTATCATATCAGTTCTCCTATTTTTAATTAAATAGATTTATTCTGTTAAATATTTCTTTAGGTAATGGTTATCGATAAAGATGGAACGCGACAATTGGAGGATATCAAAGTTTAGATGTAATTTTGTTGCTTGTTCAACTCGATTGTTTTTTTTTTTCATTTGCGTAGCATTGTGATCATTTGCTCGTATAAAGATTATTTACTGATAAATAATTTTTTTGAAATACAAGCGAGAGCATTACTTAACGGTTCTGTAGACTTAACATTCTTCAACAGTTTTCTAATTCGAAAAATCAGAACTGTGAAAATTTTAAAACTGCAACTTGGTATCTGAAACTATTGTATAAGATAAGACGCTGTGTGACAAATTTGTGGAAGATTCATATAACCTTTAGGTTTACAAAGTAAGCATGACTTCAAAGGCGGCAAGAAATTGGCATGTGTTCTTTCAGCAAGAAAATTCTAAATATTCTCCTTCATTTCTTATTTTCGTTTACCGAAATTAGTAATTCTTTGAGCAGTTATGAGCACACCTCATATTTTCAAATAAAACACTTTCCAAGTTTCCCGGTAATCTTGGATGTCGAGCGAACATTGAGATCTAAATGCATCAGCTTTGCAGATATGAACATGTTTTCGCTACTGAAACGTCAGCAGCTGTTCTCCTGGACATAGAGAATTTTCTGGCACAAACATGATTATGCCTATACAGAAGTTTTATGAAATGTGGGGGTGAGAGACCGCGTTTGCTCATGTTGAAAAATCCAGAATCAATCGAAAAGTGGAGATGAAGTGATGTGATGCAATGCTGGAAGTTTTTTTATAATGCTACTTTGTTAATTCATTAACTGTCGATTCAGAGGTTTATTTTTATGTCCTTAAGCATAGACAAGAAACGAAAAAAACAATCACTTAACAAATATAATTCAATAAAAGGTATAGCGATGAAATTTTAATATTCCGGGAAAGGTAGACCCACTTTATAAATTAGATAAGGTGGGTAGAAACTCTCTAGTTCCTCTATTTTCGTCTCTGTCTCCGAATTTGAATCTGAATCCGAAACTGATAAGTCCGACGAATCCAACGAATCCGACTCATCTGTTACATCTGATTCCTCTTCCTCTTCCTCTTCCTCTTCCTCTTCCTCCTCATACAACTTCGTCAGTTCGGATTGCAATCGCTGCGACAAATTTTTTCGTGGATAAAACATGATAATTTGAAATTCTCGACCATCGTATATTATCGAACTTGAAATGTATGCTCGAAATATCTTGACATGAATTAGCACCTCAAAAATTTCATCAGTCATCAATTTAAGCCATTGAATGAGCATTATATTTTGATATCGTGCAGCTTCTTCAACCTTTTGTCGTTCATGGAGCTTTCTGGCAAATCCATCCGGATCACACTGATATCCTCGAGCAATGAAACCATATTTGGCGCAATTATCTCGAAATTCCAAGAAATCCTCACTGACAATAACTATAGAATACAACTTATAATCATCATCTTCAATGATAAAACAACTGGAACATGCTACTATTGAATCATGAAGTGTTTCATAGATTTCTAACCATGTATTAACAAGTCGCTGTGGCACAGCTACATAAACTGATTGAATATATTCCGTATCAATAACAGTTTCCTCACGTATAAAACAAGCTAAATTTTGTGTAGCTAATGTTTCCTCTGCAGTTATATATTCTTTTGCTATTTTCAAATTTTCCTTATAAGTTGCAACATTATGTCGTATTTGTTGGTCAAGGTTTTGAAAATGTTTGTAAAATAGTTCACATAAATCAGATAATGATAAATACGGCGAATATATTGCCATATTCCATGAAAAATCAGTGATACTTTCACCATATCTCTGCTTCCGTATTACCATATTTTCCAATAAATTAACATTTTCAAATAGCAGAACATTCTCAAAAGCGGACAGGAATGATCGGAATAGATTTTCCACCGAATGATCCAGTAATTGCATATCTTTCGATAATTCATAAAGCTCAGCTTCTGGAGCACTTTGAAAATTTGGAATTGCTATGTTAGAAAATGTAGCAAAATTACGAGCAACATTTTGCAATTTCAACCAGCCAGTTTCGGGACAATCTTCAATAGGTTTCGAGATAAGGAACATCTTCTTTGATTTCAACGTTCTTCTGTTTTATCTAAAATGTTTAAATCATTTGAATTTGAACAGCGAAATCATTCTCAATGTAGCAAAATGGTCAAAGGGTAATGGCGATCTCAGTATCATATGATCAGATGCTAAATGCATTTTGGATATACTTCGCAATTTTCTGGCTCAAATTTACTGTTTTTTTTTTTCACATGGCACAATTTGAATTTAGCCTACGAGCAATATTTGAGCAATAACTACTGGAACTGTTTGGAGTCTTTGAGGCACCTTGTCAACATCTTCGGCAAATTTCAAAATTTCACTTTAATTTTGATAAAAAAAATAGTTCATCTTATTTGCAATAAATCACACGATATATACTGATCCAAATATATTTCAGCAACTTTTATTCGCTATCACCTCTTATCAGTTCTAGCACGAGCATATATAACTAGAAAAAGTGATGAAACATCATAAATGATAAATTTTTATGATTATAATATAAAGGAAAAGAACGAAATATCAAACATATCAATACTTATTCTAAAAGTTTCAATTCCGAGGATATCTTCAAATTTCAGGATTTGACCTCTATTTTCTTAAAAAATAAATAGATAAATAAACTGATTCTGCAAAATTCTTCAAATTATTATATTATCAAAATAAATCGTAAGAATTGATCAATTTTATTGATTTATTGTGAGGAACTATCGATTGATTACAATATCTTGAAAGATTAAATAAGTAAGTAATGAGAGAGTTCGATATGATAGCAAATATGAAAGGTGAAAAAAGTAAATCGAACAGGCTGAGATAATGACATACCCTTCAAATGGACCTTGCACTCTCGATTGAGGCAGAAAACGACGGAGAAAACAAACCACTGGGAGAATGACCAACGGTCACTATATGTTCTTTCAGTAAGAAAACTGAATAGCTCTGAAGGGCAATACTGTAAAAGGAACAGTGGCTGATGGCTAACAAATCATGCCACGCCCCTTACGAAGGTCGAACAGACATCACTTTCCTCTTTGCAAAAACTTTTTAGGTAATCAACAAACTACAAAACATATTTTACGATGAAAATTATCTCTTACCTCTAATAAATTTAATGGTAAATTTAAATTTAATTAAATTTGAAATATATAATTTTGAAATATTCATTTAACGCAAATTTAAAATCCAGGAAATATAATAGAACGAACAATTATAGAAATCCTAAGCTATTACAACAAATCAATCCGATCACCACGAATTTTCTCCTCTTCATGGTATGATTGAATAACATCCAAAATTGCTCGAATTGAAATAATCCTTTCTGAATATGATCTTAGTTGATATACAAACATTGAATAACGACAAGTTAGAAAGAATTTTCGCGAATTTCTGTTCAAGTTAATGGTTGTTTTTAGAAGATCATGAAAATTTCCTATCATATTTTGTTAATCAAAGAGTTGAAGAAAAGTAAAAGAAATTTGGCTGATGACTAACTCTAAGGTCTTCTTGATAAAGCTATAAGATCTATATATTAATATCATTTCAAGTGATAACACATCTTTGTTAACATTTCCAGCAATTCAAATTGTTTTTTTATTTTTATTTTTATTTATTTATTGTTCTGCAAGAGTGGAAAAACTGAAAAATTCTGCGCACAATCATTAAGCAAACGAGAGATAAAATGTGGTTTATCATCTTATCATTTGAATTCATCTTATCATAAGAGATATTTTTCTAATCATCGTTTATTTAAGATGGAAATCATTCTAGTAAGACAATTGTTGAAATTATATGATATTATAAAAAGTTTTATTCACTGGATGATTTTTTTTCAGTGGAAATAAAAACTGAACTTGTCGTAATTGCTTTAATACCTCTGATATCTCTGATAAGATATTCAAATTTATGCAAATGTACACCAGAAATCTTTTCATGAATCAGAAAGTTTTTATTAAATTAGAGAAAATGGAGCGAAAGTGGTTTTACTGAATTTTTAAAATATTAAATTTCTCTTTCTTGCAACATTTTGCTGTTTATATCATTTCTGTTGAAAATTTCAACCTTTTTATCATTATTTGTTAAATTTGGTTGAAATCGACGAATTAATTAAAAAAGTCGATAAATTAATTTTTAAATTGTCATAATCAAACAAAACATTCATTTAACAGTATTTGGAGCGAATACCATAAACAAAAGAATATTTCCAAAGACAAAAAAATGCACTTTGAATTATTGGTAACAAACGATTTAAAATACGTAACATGAATAAATCACTGAACGTCCGCAAAAAAATAAGTGACGTAAAACACGTAGTGGTAATAAATCACTGAATGCTCACAAAAAAAAATTCATCACGTTCATCACGGAATGCGAAGAACATGTGAAGAATGTATTGAAGGCATATTTCTAATATGAACAAACACGATTGAATATGGCTGACCATCGATGCAAAACATGTAATATAAAATAATCCATCTGATCCTGACAAAAAACATTCGTTTCGAAATATGCAGTAGAAAGAATGGAAACAATTGAAATGCAACATGTTGAAAGAACTTTCCAAAAATAAAAGTAAACATAACAGATGATGAAATAACCGAATAAGAATTACCATAAGCTATCCAAATAGCTTCAAAATGTGGAATAATTCAAACTATGAAATAATGAATGAAATAATATGCAGGAAAAAGATGCAATAATAACTTTATTTTATTACAAAATATCTTGTCAAGAGAATCAAAATCTTTTTTTTCTTAATGCAAAAAGTTTACCAGAGCTGTAAAGAATTCAGAAATTGAATTTTAAGTTATTGTAATTTCTTCTACTATCTTTAATTTATTTTGTGGTTAACAAAGAATTCAACAAGAACTTTCTAGAATTAAAAACAGCAAGGTATATTTTCGGTGAAGATAAGCTTGACAAGATGATTGATAAAATTACAAGTAAAAATTTGATAGAAACTAGGAAAAGCACTTCAGGCGGATTCGTAACGAATTTCGTTTTTAGTTGTATTGTACTCGAAGGAATTGACAGTAGGAACATAACAAAGCTCTTTCCATTCCGCAAGGCCATCCGGCAAGCACACATTTAAATCGACGTTGGAAAATTACCTTCAACATTTCTAATCTTTTTATTGTTTGGTTTCCAGGAATTCCTGGTAAAATACTGATACTTCTATCGATTATCTGAAAAATGCATCATGAATTATTTATACAGAATATCTAGTGCATAATTTAAAAATAATTGATTAAACAGATATTGATCTGATTGATTTTACAATAGTAAACCAATTTCTGTTGATTTAATTTGATTGAAGCTTGCAAAAATTGACTTATGTTAATTTAAATTAAAATAAATTAAATTAATAGAAATCAACAACTTTTCAGATTTGATAAAAATTTTTATTATATTTGTTTTTTATTTTATTTGCATAAAATTAAATTAAACTAAGTTCGATAAAATTAAGTCAAATCAAAATTTCCTTATAATATTGATACAATAATTGAGCATCAGTCCGAATCTTTTCAAGCTTACATAATTTAAATATTCTTCATATAATTCTTCCAATTTTCTGAATAATCGACCACCAGCGCCTCTTCGCCATTTCATAAAACGCTCAGCAAAAAGATGTACAGTATTTCTTTCACGTCGAATATGTTGATGATATTTAAGATCAACTGATCTAATATGATCCAAATAATCTTTTATCTGTGATGGATCTTTCGAGAAATCGACGCTTTCCACCAGTTGTGATCCATTACATTGAACTGGTAATACACATATTGGCCAGAATTCCTTCAAAAATTTTTTGAAACCTTTTATTTTCAAAAAAAGAAATGATTGAATTATAATCAGTTATCAAGCAAAAAATTTTCAGCTTTCTAATTTGAATATGCTCAAATCTTATATTAAATTCATAATCATGTATGATTCAGAAGGCTCTTTAAGAATGCCAAAATATCGATGATAAATTGAACAATGATAACATTTACTTGCTGCGCACGATACTTGTTGACTAATTGCTCAGCTTTTTGTTCAATTTCAGACATTACTCTTAAACAGAATAACATTGCCATAACATTGCAACAACAACCACTTAACAGTTTCTTCTCATTGAGCCACATAGTATCAAGCTCCTGAAATTGTTCATTAATTATCAATGATCTGAGATCAGTAGCCAAGCAATTACTAACAAAAAGTAAATTTTTCCACATTTCTAATTTTCTTCATAGATATTCAAATTTTAAGATTATTAGCTTCCAGGGAAGTTTAAAAATTGTTTGTCCTTTTTCTCTTCCTCATTCTCTCTCATTCAATTTTATGTTTTCTTTGAAATAATAATTCTTATAGGTTAATTGCCTGAACTCATTCATTACCTGTACTAATTTCTTGAACACCAAGAAATAAATGTTTTGATTTTTTATGAATTAATTTAAAAGAGAAAAATAAAGAATGAACCACAAAAATAAGAAATGAAGAATGTGGAAAACAAAATTTAACCTTCTTGATTACTATAATTCCACGATAGAACGATTCGCGCCCGGGACTTCGCATCCATCGTTGCGTTCTACTCAGATGTTGGGAGATTGTTATATCGCTATATGGAAGAATTGGAGATCGCATAATTAAATAATTCATCCTTTTGCGTCGTGGTGATATTTGATGTTTGCAATACTTGTGCCATTTACCCAAGTGGTTAAACTTTGACCGTATACCGGCATGATATAGCATGCGTTCACGGCGCAATGCGTAACGTACCATTCTTTCGTTGCTTACAGAATCACTTTGCTCCACTTCATCGTTACGTTTCAAGGTTTTCATAAGAGTAAATTTCAATATAAGCATAACCTGGAGTGCAATAAATTAGCTTTTACCGCTTCTTTTTAGCTATGCAGTTAAATCCGCTTCTGAATTGTTAATGAATCTACACACTGGGAAGATCAATTCAATATTTTGTATTCGGCAAACAAATCACGTAATTATCAGCAAAACGGATACTTATTAATATGACTTTTAAAATGTTTCCCCGACATAAGATCACCCGCGGGTATCACAGTGCAATGATCTCAATGTTACTGCGATATACATGCTTACTTAGTTTTTTTAATCTTATTCAAAAAATGTCGAAATGAAGGACTAGTATTTTTATTTCAAAAAAACAATATTTAATTCTCAGCTACATACAGTACCATATTATTCTTTAATTCATAGGACGATAACTTTTAATTATTTGCTGCATATAGTACCATTAGTGTTTTTGGTACTTAAATACTATTAATATGTATTTTCAAATTGTTTTCATCCCCAAAAATCCCTCCAAATAATCTTAAAAATCAATGACTAAAGTCAAGCGAATTCTTGTTTTGATGACCTTATATCTGTTGACCTGACGCTCTACTTTCATATCTTTTTGCCCAATCTCATCGTAACTGAATAGTGGACATGGTACCATCGATGTATTTTGTATTCGTATATTTAATGTGGTGAATTCAAAGCTATATAGTATTAAAATCAAGAGACATTGTAAAAATAAAATGAATTTTAACAAAGATACATTGTAACAAGTGCAAATCCATATCATAGTTATGAGAGTTACAAAACCGTGAATTGAAGAAACATAAATAAACTATCAAAGCACGAAAATTGCGCAAGTACATGAATAACCTGCCGAAATACAAGGATTGCGCAATTGTGAACATTTAATTTGGGAAGAGTAGAAAATTGAGGAAATTTTTTATCACTTACAACCGGGTATACTTTACTAAGAGAACTTCAACCTATCAATAATTTCTCCTTCCCAATTCTAATTTTCATTTCATCTTTTCAAAATAATAATAAAAAAAGAATACCACTTGTTATTTGATGCTACAGGTCAATAAATCCAAGTAAGATTAAATGATAGGTATGTTTTGTTATGAATTCTACTCCATGCTCTCTCTTACCTCTAACTCTAATCAATCAGGGTCATAGAACTTTTCTCATTTCTACTAATTGAAAACGATTACTTAATTATATGAGAAATTTGAAAGAATTTGATAATTCCAAAGTTCAACGACAATTTCAAGATATAATAATCTAAGCTAAATGAAATTAAAATTTTAATGAAATTTAACAAAAAAGAAATTTAATTAAAAATTGGAAAATTTATTTGACTCAAATTAAAAAAGAACAATGACAAATATTGTATGTGAAAAAAAAATTGAAATTGAAAGTTTTCCTATTAAAATAATAAATAACGAATTTGAGTAATCTTCTTCCTCTCTTCCCCACTCTCTTTCTCTTCCACATAGAGATGAGGAAAATGTGATATTCTGAATTCGTATATACATATCATTGATCGGTGAGAGTCGCGGCTAATATAATTTAAACTTGCAAAGTATGAAACTAAAATATAATAGAGGAATGTTAGCTTATCAATTTGTAAACAAATTAGGAACTCAAAAAATTTGTTAAGATAAATTTGAATTTTGAACTGAAACTTAACATTTTGACGGAAGTTTAAAAAACCTACAAATGAACATGATAATAAACATGGAAGATTCATCTCAAAATATTATCTCATTTTTAAGTATTTAAGTTTTAATTGGAATGGATCAACTTATCAATATTTTTAGGTTCAAATATTCTTTCGATCAGCCATATAGAAGTGAAATAATAGATAATATCTGAATTCGAAATTAATCGGCGAATTAATGCAACGAATACCTCATATTTTAATTATTTCAATAAATTTTTTTAGTGTGGTAAGTAGATTGATTCAGAAAATTCACGGCAAATTCATACGATTCCACGGAATATCCTTCAAATGTTCGCAAATCAGAAAAAATGACAATAAATGAAAAGCTTCTTTTTTAATCCAATATTTACACTATCATTATAATATTAGAATGATAACATGTTAAAAATTAGTCCATATTTTCAACTCCCGTACTTTCTTATTTCATCGTAGAATCTGCCAAAAACCTTCTAAGATACAATGATCTGTTGATTTAAATTATATCGTTGAGAACATTTGAGAATATAACGATAAAATGAGAAGTAAATACTAAGTTACAACGATTTAACGATTTCAATATAAGTAAGAAATTGTAATACGAATTAAATAAAATATTGTCGCAAAAAAAATATCAAGATTTTGCAGTTGCAAGTTTTAAAGGAGCTTTTTTGTCATTTGAAATCACCACATCACTCAGTGCATTCCATACTTGCCTCCTTCATACCAACTAGCTGTGTTTGGTTCTTCAAGATCATTTCATAACATATGAATCAACCATCAAACATCTATAACAAATGAATGAAATAGCTTAATAGTTTATGCTGAATGCTTCTTCCCTTGAAGATCGCCTATCTTTCTTAGCCCATTTTGCATCAAGGAAAATGCTGAACGATCGGCTAATTTCAATGATGACCACTTTGGAATTTATTACTCATTGGTGCTTTATTTGAAATCGCCGTATCGTCATATTAAATGCGACAATTAAAGTTATTGATGCGAACATGACGTATATGAACGGATAGATTAAAAGAAATGACACGAAAGTTGGTAAACATCTATCAGAATTCGAAAAAAGTCTATCTACCAATTATAACATCATTCAGTTTAATGCATTTGTTGGTTTATAAAGTTAGCGGCTCGGTCCGCAATACTTTAATCGGCATGATAATAAAGCCTCGTTATGAGCTGTTAATTGGAGAAATTAATTAAACTAATCATTTTTTATTGAATCAGTTTAAAATGAAATATTATCGCAAATTACGATAAGTAACAAAGACAAACTGATAAAAACAGAACTAAGACATCTAACGAACAATTAATACATATTGCTATATCATATTATTTACCTCTAACCTACTGGCAGAATAATAACACTGATTTGTCACTTGGTGTAAATATGTATTCTCTTCAGTGATTCTTTCGTTCCAGTAAATCTATGTCAGGCAATACTTTAATTTTCTTCGTTTCATGGAAATCAAAAGAATGCTGCTATTGAGGACGTGAATGGAACATGAAAAGCCTCATGATTTTTCATGCATAAACCAATAATGATGATTTAAACTATGAAAATTTAAATATTTAAAGGAAATCAAATAACTTCAGTAAGCAATTTCTCACGCCTTTCTTCAATTATCACTATTGCTTTCTTCTCCAAAGCTTTCTTTTCCTTCAACAGACCTTGCATAATTTTCTGAAATTCCTCATGATCCTCTAGCTCCCGATCATATTTTGAATAAACCTGAATAAATGCATAATTAAGTTCCTTTCTCTTTTGTGAATCTGGAACAAAGCCAACAATCCATTTATACAAATGAGAATTAAAATTATTAAGCCAACTTAGAGTGAAAAGAAAAACAACAAAAACATCAAGTTATATCTAAAAATTAATGCAAGAATAATCAAAAGGAGGTCATTTTATCTTATGTACCTAAATCTTATATATTATGACAAACAGATTATGCTTCCTTAATTCAAAAATTGAATCTGTGATTTAAAACTAACTTATTTGCTTAACAGTAACAACGAAATCCTATAAATTGGAATATTACACTTATTCGAGGTTGCATGAAATATGCTGCTGCACTAGTGCATGAAGGATAACACGCAGGAGATGGAAAAAATTAATTTGTACTATATAAGAAGTTTTAAATAGTAAAAAAAATCAAATTTACTTCATTTAAAGCTTTTTTATATTCATTGAACAACTTCTTGGATGCAACGTTCGCCATATTTTCACGTCGTTCACGTGTTATCCGCGGTAGTGATATATACAGTACAGCACCTTCTTGACGTGGTGTCACATTAAGTTTTGACTGCTCAATGGCGTGACGGACTGACTTTATTACTGATGGATTATCCGTAAAATCAACGGAAATCAACAGCGGATTCAACAACTTGATTCTCCCAAGCGTGTTTAACTTGTATTGCTGTAAGTTCTATTCCGATAAAGTTAATTTAACATTATCCAAAACATATCCATAATATTGTTAACTTACAAATATTTCAACTTGCAAAAACTACGAAATTTGACTTCAATAGAAGAATCAAGTTTGGTAATAGCTAAGAAAAATCCAAAATTTGCAGTATGATATAATATTTGTGGCATTTGAACATCAAAAAAATATATAATCTAAATACATCAAAAAAATATATAATCTAAAATCTCTGAATAAGCATTACCTTTCCATCCTCTGTTTTCACCACAAAATCTTCATATGTTCGCAAATCAACCTTTAATGAAAGATTTCTAGTAAGTTCCTGCATGAAGGTATCCTCTAAGCTTTTCATTTCCTTCACTCCATGCTGTATGATAAAATCACAACTGTAAGCTTTAGCTGGATCGCCATTCTTACCATCACTGCCTTCATCATCAAATCCTTTCTAAACAAAACAATTTCAATGGATCTTTCAATTTTGAAAATTGAAAAATCAGTAACAACAAATGACGGCAGCGATCTTTTGCCTGAGATAACTGTCAATAATACACCGCACATGGTTCTCTTTTAAATAACAGAAAACAAAAGTACTGTAGAAAATAGATAAGATTAAATCATTTCAGCTTCTGCCAAATCGAATTTATATCATGAACATAAAAATAATTTAAAAGTCGAGAAGAAAATAACAGAATTTTTTTTATTCTTCCTATCACACCAGTCCCTTATTAAATCAATCTCTAATTGCAAAAAAGTCAAGTTTCAATTTATCAGTTAATTAGTCAGTAAATTTTCAGAATCAAATATTCCTCTTCCTGATCAATATTACTCTTCCATATAGAACTTAAGCATACAAAACCACTGAGTCCCAAATATACAATAGCTGGGTACAAAATCAGAGTTAAACTGGCATGCCATTTTTATAAATAAATCTTTTGAACACAAGAATACCTACGATTTTTGCTTTCCGTTTCTTTTTCAAATATGGAGGTGAGCAGTGTATTTCTCGAAACTGTGTTAGTTGACATAGCGAAGAGCCACAATGAGGTATTACTTGCAAATGTGCCTTCATCCTATCAGGCCTTATGTCTAATCTATGCTTTTGTAGTATATTTGCTGCTAGCTGGACATTGATGAATCTTTGCCATAAACGAAACATTCTAAAAAAAGCAAAAAAAATCATAACAGAACTGATTTTTTCAAAGAATTATTTCCTGACTTATTCAATGAACATACATATATTAATCAATTCCTCTAAAATGATTAATAACGAACAGTCTAATTATTATCAATTAATTTCTGTAAAGTCAGAATATGTAGTGCCATAAATGAACTGAAACTCAATCGACTTCGCTCAAATATTGCTCCACGGTATCTTTTTATTTTTTAATTCACCCGCAGAACTAAGAGTTGCAGTTGACAACAATCAATTTATATAAAAAACTGAACTAAAGAAGCACTTCACCACATGTTTCAGTTGGCCGCAAAGATCCTTTTTAATCTGGAATTCATCAAAAAGAAAATGCACCAATAAAGAAGATCATTTCAAAGTAATTATTGAAATTTTAATAAATCTTCGATTAAACTGCAAATGTTTTACCTGAAGCAATGGATGAAACACTGAGAGTTTTATTCTCTTTCGCAAAAATAGAAAGGCACAGCTTCAAATTTCGACAAAAGGACCAATTTAAAAATCATTGGACTGAATTTGCAGATAGACCTCGTATTTGAAGTAGCGAAAAACGTGTGGAACAAATCACTGAATAAGAAAGAGATATTGCTGAAGAAATCAGATAACCGCTAAACATACAAATTAATTGGTAAAAAAACCATGAAAGAGACAATGAAGAAATTTGATGGTGAATTAAGAGTAATTTAACTTATTCCTAACTTTTAAAACCATGAAATAATAAATAAAAAGATATGAAATGAGAACAAAAAGCAAAGTTTTAAAAAAAGTAATAATGGAAGAGAGAATAATCACGAGAGCCTAATGAATAATTTATTCACATAAGCCTAATGAATAATTTACTTCTAAGGTGTTCGAAATTGAAGGGTGGCGTAATACCCATCATCAACTTCGATTCGATGCACCACAAGCAGTCAGTTACAGGTAATTCGAAATTCCTGTAAGCACTGGGCAGATAAATTTCAGTAATAAACAAAAAGTATTCCTATAATTCCAATACAGCTGAATCATTTAGAGTTCTTGACTTTCAAGAAAATGAAAAAAAATTAGAAAAAGCAAAGAAAGTGAAAAAAAAATAAAAACACAAATCAAAGGTAAATAGCAATTGATATGCGAACAAAATGCACACCAAAGTTTCTCAAAAATTGACCAGGGAGCTAGAAGAAGAATATGATGAATTGTACGAAGCAGGTTTGTTTACAAGAGAAAACAGATTTCAAATTTTCAAGTTTAACAATTCATTAAAAATACATCCTACTGACTGGCTCCTCTTTCGAGTGTCCCACCCGTAATAGTGTGTGAAAATGGAAACTCCTCCAGTTAATTGATACTGGGATTGCAAAGAATCCAACATTCTACAATACAACATGATAAGCAATATGAAATTTTAAATGCATCACGAGAAAGATAAATTATCAGATAACGATTTCCTTCAAATTTTTTAAAAGCTAATCCAACTTAATTTTTTAAACTTTTGTTTTCCATTCCAGTCAGCTAAGAAAAGCGGAAATCACCACAATAAATGCACCATCCATCAAAAAAAAATCTTACCTTTTCTTTTTTCTCATCCCACAAAAATTTCTTACCGATAAGATATGCGAAAAGATAAAGTTTCTTTATGGAGCTGCAGTTATATATCTTTTTCTAAAGATGGTATTATGAATTTTCTTTTTTTTTAAAATATTCTTATCTTACATTGATTTGGGAATTGCAGCAGAAATGAGTTATTGGAAATGCAATATCAAGTTAAAAGATTAACAGCAAAGCAGGGAAATAAATAAACAAATGCAAAACAAATATTTTCAAATAGTCAAACAAAATTTGAGAATTTATAGAACAAAACTATTTCTTGAAAGTGATAGGAAAATGTTTTCCGATAATCCAGTTAAATTTTCTGAAGCGTTCATGAGTTTTCGAATTCATTTTTATCATTGAGTTCATCGGCAGACTCAGAATCAGTTGTATCTGCAAACGAATCGATCACCTGTTCTTTGGCTGGTAAAGGAGCATAACTGAAACAAAAAACATTAAAATGATGGACTGGAAATAAATACCCAGACTAATTGACTTTTTTGACCATAAATTATTCCCCATTAAATTTAAGAAGTTGATGACAAAAGTTTATTTTAATTTTTAATATACGATTAACTTTTTTGGAAACAAGAAATTAAAAGAAAATCTGTGCATTATTTAACCAAAAAAGCAAATGCGTTGCATGTATTTGTAATGATAATAAAGTGCAATGACTTACTCGATATTTCGATCAGTACGACTCGAAGAACTACCAATACCAATTTTTATAATGAATACAGAAACGATAACACACAAAGTCAGAACAATGATTGTGAAAAGCAATATATGAAACACTGATGAATGCATTCCATGTACTTCTGGTGATAACAAAGTGCAATCCTCTGAAATTTGGGACATAATTTTAAAGCTGAAAATTGAATTTGATCGATAGAAGCAATAAAGCTAACATGAAACTTTGTCATTAGAGAAACCGTTAAATAACTGAGAATGATATTAAGTTATAGTAAACTGAGACAAAAAAAATATATCAAATAATAACTAGAAGTTAGAGGTTGATGGGAAAGATCGGAAGGACTAATGAGGAAATACTTGGACGAATTGAATTTTCTGAAATATGACTGAAAGTCAAGTGGAATTATTTCGAAAGTATATTTTGGGTCCTTTTATCCTGAAGTGATTTTATTTTAGAAACTTTCATCCCAGGAGTACCATCTCGAGCACTTCTGCTCTTTGTATATTGTGAGATGAATTCATTTCATTCCAAAATCACCACAAAAACCATCTCAGATTTTTGACAGAATAAGAATTGATAATATAATTGAAACGTTAACATATAAAATTGATAATATAATTGATAGAAATGATAATATAACTGAAACGTTAACATATAAACGTAGTAATTCAGGCTGAATTCTATCATGTTTATTAAATACTAATAAGCTAACCGCAATGATGTAGCATTGGATCCTCGCCCGCTCTGCAACATGGTCGACAATATCCTACTGATCGGTTACTGAAGTTTGGGGCACACGAATCACATTGCAAAGGTCCAGGACCATGGCATATCCTGCATGCATCATCACATGGCGTACACACAGAATTTGTTGCCTCATAATATCCAATGGAGCATTTATTCCTTTTCAGTACACAACGTGCCTGCACTGCTATTGTATCTGTAAAAAAGTGATTTATTGATCTGTAAAATTACAATCTGTTTCAAAGTAAACAAACAATTGAAACTTGACAGTTTTTAGCAGAAATTCCGGATTTTCATTTAACAGTTCTCTACTGATCACTTAAAAAGCAAAAATCCATCAACAAATTTAATGCAATTTTGAGCATAAGTGTAAATTCGAAATCAAATTTGTTGATCGAATAGTTAATAGTTGCTTAATCACAATGATTTCTGGAACGAATGATCAAAATTTATTTGCTTCTAAACTTCTAAACCGTAAGATAGATCTTTTTATTAAACAGAAGAAGTCCTTTTAGACCTCAATCTTATTTCATCTTAACTGATTTGCTAAATAATTTTGCAGGCTATTTACTAATAAAAGAGGCTTGTATATTTAATTTTCCTGAATTTCATGTTTCGTGAGCAAACACAAAAAATTTCAAGCGCTTTCAGCTATCGCATTCATTTGATCAGCAAATAATTCCTAAATTTGAGATTTGAATCTAATGTTGTTATGTCATGCAAACAGGTGGCTGGAAATTGGCAAATCATTTTCACAACACTTACAGTCCGGCTCGAGTTCAGGTGGACATGTATCGATGCATTGTCCGTGATCCAAGTGTCCGTAATGATTTACATCGATTAAGAGTTGCGCGCCTGGGCATGTTTCGCACTGTTCTGCTTTGATGCATGTTTTGCAATTTGGACTGCATGCACGACATTTATACCCTTCTAGGAAGTACCCTTCATCGCACTTGGCCACACATCTATAATAACAAAATTTTGCAAGTCTGAAAAAACAAACAAAGGGAGTAGCTTTTAACGACAAAAATTTGCATGTTCTAATCATATCGCAACTGTGGCCAAAACTGTTCAACGATAACCAGAAGAAACCTAGTAATAACTTAAACCGCTTTAAGTCGGTTAGATCCAAGATAATATTCCTAGATTCTTAGTTATGATTCTTGGTTGGGCTTAATAAAAAAAGTTGAATTACACTGATTTATTTCTAGTTTAATTATAATAGTTGTCAATATAATTTCCGACACCTTTTAAAAATGAATATTAGAACTCGTGCAGCGACAAAATCCTGCTGATCCTACAAATTATCATTGTGCACTATATAACAATATTTACTCATACATGATACAAGACTTACTTGAACCCTGCACGATTACGCAAGGATTGTGTGAAATGTCTGCAAGAAAAACAGCTAACTGCTGATCGTGATTCCGTGCATCCAATACATTCTGCGTGACAATCTGGAGCTGAACGCAAATCACCAAAATCGATCAACGTTTTGGTTGGAGTAATCTGAAATCTAGGTTGATCGACTCCAAAAATCTTTCATAAATTAACATAATAAGAATTTGCTGAATAAAGAGGAAATAGAATAAAGACGCCGATGAAAATATTTTCAAGAATTTCTCAACGACATGATCGATTTTTATTTAATAAATCCATATTGTATCCGGTAATTTCCTTCTCTAGTCGACAAATTCTTTAGTGGACATATTGCATCATTAATAATTAAAGATAATAGCAAGCAACAACAATATCATTTTCATATAACAGTTGTCAGTTATCAATCGTGCTCAGACCAAAAAGCAAAGAAACGACAAAAAATGTTGGAGGAAGAAATGATGTAAAACGGCTGGAGTAATCCAATTTATTCCCAAATATCAAGCATGATATTTCCTGATAAAAACATACATGGTTGGCATGTAGTAGGGAAAAAATATGTCATAGTCCCTGCCTTAATCATTTGATCAAATGTAAGTGAAGTACGTAACGTTACGAAATTAACCAAAACCTTCAAAATAATTCGAAGAATCGTTCGAACTTTATTTACAATCATCCCATCTTACTAAATATAATATCACATGTATCATTCCTTCTCTCCCTTACCTTAATAGTTCTAATGGCAAAAGATATATGGCAGAGGATTAATAGTAATTAGCAAAAAATATTTCAACAAAAGATCAACTGAGGCAAGCAATACACCAACTACGTTTTGTTAATAATATTTTGGAAGATTTGAATTTTATCCAAAAATTCTGAGTTTTTGGGCATGCAACATATATTTGAACGAATTGAATCAGAAAACTACCGGCATTTTCAACATTATTACTATTAAATTGGCAATGATTATTCATTTTGCTTATTTTAGTTTTTTTTTTCAATACAAAAACAAATTAACTTTCAACTTCCTTTGAATCCAAGAATAAATTTAATTTAACTAACTCTGTTCTAATTTAACGGTACCAGCAACCAGCTTAGTTCCAACTTAGATTAAAAACTATCAACTACATCTAATTATATTTGTTATTTATCACTCTTAAAAGATCCCTTGAAATTCACACAAATGTACGGAAGAATGTCAATCCAATATTGAAACTTAATAAAATATATGAATGATCATCCGATTGCTTAGCTTACTTACTACTTCATGACCTCATTTTTCACTTTCATTGTAAATAGTAAGGCCAAATTTCTCGGATCATCATTGTAATTTCAATTATTGAAATTCATAAAATTTGATTAACTAAATCTCATCAACACAATGAAGTGACGCATACAGAGAGTCACGGCAGAAGTAAAAGTCATTGGCGTAAAAATGTCTGAAAACGTATTTGCAAAGTTATTTTTCTGCTCCAAGGACTAAAACTGGATCCCATAAAATATAAAAATTGACTTGAACATTGCTCTTCTCTCAATTTGTAAAATATTTTGTGCATTTAATAAATGCATACCAAAACGCCTAAGTACTATCTCTTGCATAACTATTTTTTGTAAGTATCAGGAACATGTTCATTTGCAAAATCCAAATCACACTTCCTCAAACCACATTTATTTATTCGCTTTTTAAAAGCGATTCATGCAAAACGTGATAACGTAAATATCATGCGTGACTAATTTGAGACAAATACTACTTGTCGGATATGCAACATATAGTGCGAGCTTTTTGGTAGGGAATGATGGGTTCTTCGTACTTCTTATACTTGTTTAAACTTCAACAAAAAGTAAAACATCCTTAAAAAGCATGTACGATTGAAAATTTAAAGTTCACTTACAAATGCTGAGAAAAAAAGAATTTTTGAAGAAGAGAAACAAAAAATTAAAAAAACAGTGGAAGAACTACAACTACTTGCTATTCCAACATACTACGACTACAACTATTACTAGTACTATGACAAAAAAATTTTCATCAAATTTTAAAACTTCATAGAGATGCAAAAAAAGCAGTACGAAAAACTCATCATTTAATTCAGAAATGAAACGAATCATATTCTTTTCCGATTTGCCGGGATTCTTAATTAAAATTGTATACTTTTCATTTAGAGTATGGGATTTTCGATGCATTCGTAGTATATCAGGCTTACAACAAACGATTTCAAATATTTTAATGATTATGTTTCACAAAGTTTCAGTTCTTATCAAGGTTATTCGATAAGGAAATATAAAAAAATAAGGAAATAATTCGAATATAGATTATGACTTCAAATTCATTTTACACGAATAATATGTACAATTCGGGAAAAATGAAAATGTCTTCATTAAATACTCGCTAATTTATATTCGCTAATTTAATTTATATATTTTTCTAGGAAAAATAGCCATCACCACAATTCGCTAATTTATATATTTTTCTAGGAAAAATAGCTATCACACACTTTCTTTTCCGCAAAATTTTGAAGACCTAATGGTAAAAATTTAACCGATGAAGAAGACGCCTTTTTCCTAGAAAATATCAAAGCAAAATAGAGCAAAAATTCTCGAATTCATAGTTTCGTAAAATTTTATGACCTTAACTATATTATACATCCGATATAGAGGGAATGTTACAAATTACGAAAAAAGACAACATAGAAGTGAAAAGGAATAATATCAGTATTAAGAGGCATGCCAATAATCATTTATCTTAATTAACTGAATTACTCAATATTTATCATCAACATTCTTTAACCAAAATATGTTTCTTTGACGATCCTACTTCTCTGAATAAGACACATGCTGTACCCAGCCCATCGAATAAACCACGACAATGGCAGTAGAGGATTGATAAAACGAAGTGATATACAACACAACAACTTACAAAGCCAAATCGTTGAAAAGTTCGGATCTTGGAAACTTAAAAATTAAATTTCATTTCACCTTTCCAATGAGAAAAACAAATTTTTCATTTTTAAAATAAGACTACATATAAATAGTTTTAGAAACGCTGACGTGAATGAACTTTTCGAACTGTAAACAACCGTTGAATGGAAATTCAGATACATTTTTCGGAAAAGAAATAAATCTTATTTGCTGTTGCAAAAAAAATCACTGCCTTCAACAAAAATTGCATTTATACAAATACAAAACTTTTCTTTCTTTAAAAATTAGTGAACAGCCGATTAAAACAGTTAAGCACTTGGAATTCATTGAACTATGCAAAATTCAAATATCAGAACTTGAAGAAAGACGACAATATTTGAAAAAGTATTTATAGGAAAACATAAGACCAAGCAGTTCAGCAAAATTAAACATCTTTTCTAATAATATATGTCAAAATTATCCAAAGTTGTTCGGCTTAGTGATTTAAAATATTGGTGACATGGCCAAATAGTTTACCCAGATCATATATAATGATAATTTGATGCAAGCCGAAATGGTCTTTAACCAGAAAATTTTTTTTTGAAAAATGTCCAGTTATCTCTCTCAACTATCTAGATAGATGCGTACAGTCAGAAAGGTGATGAAAAAGCAGAGGCCGTAAGGAATTTTAATTGAAGGGTACAACTTGAAAGTGATGAAAAAACAGACGTCGTAGGGAATTTTAATTGAGGGGTATAACTGAAACAATAAAAAACTTCCCTATATTCTTTAGTTTTTTAATTTATACATACATTCCACTGTACTTGAGATGAGAGACGTAGCCCGACAGGAGTCTTAATAAAATTTTTATCAAGTGATCCACATCACTTATGGTTTCTTTACTAAATATAAACATCTGGAATGAAATTTGTTTAAAATTTTCACTAAAACTTTTTTGAATCCTAGCGATGGTCTAAGCCTTACAAATAACAAATTTACAGATAAGCTAAGGACATAGTAATAATCAATTTACAGATAAGCTAAGGACATAGTAATCTGCAAATGAAAACAATAATTAAGGAAACATAATACAAGGAAAAGAACTATATATTACAGTTATGAAAAACGAAATATGAAAAATTTCCCTACCTCATGATAGATGAACAATTGATCAGATAGATGCGTACAATTAGAAAGTGACGAAAAAGTAGACGCCGTAGGGAATTTAAATTGAGCAGACTTCAAAAAGACTGAAGCGATATATCAAGGAAAAAATTTTGGGATATATTATAAATAAATGAAATGGATAATACTGACTAGTCATCAATTCTATTCTTATTATTTCCCTCAAATTTGAAAAAATCCTATTTTTTTCCTCAAAAAGAGAAAATTTTTTCATTTCTATTCATTAAAACAACCGGTGTTTGAAAACAAGAAAGTTAATCCTTGGCTTGAAACCAAAAAATAAACATTCTTTTCCTTCTCCTTCCGCATTGTGATGTTAGACAATTTTGAAACTGAAGCCAAAAAAGCATTGAAGAGCAGAAATTATAAATGACCTAAAAATTGAAAGTGATTTTGCAAAATCCTAATTTCTAACAAATTTCGAGACTCCGAAACTAAAATTTTCAAAAAAGGATCACTAACGTTAACTGAAAACACCAAAACATAATAAAATAGAATACATCTAAAAAAGATCAATGTTTTCGTTAAATAAACATAAAACATGTCAGTAAAAATTTGTAAGAAAAAATCGGTGCAGGAAGCCAACGAACACGTATAGAGTATATATCTCAAAATCGGATACAATGGCATCCCTAAAAAACCAAATTTTCAATATCACAAACATATAACAAATTTACCTCCTCTTCCTTCGATCGACTATGTCATCAAAACGCATGGTAATATTTTTGTAGCCACATTTTTCAGTAGCATAAATTTTTAAAAAATTCTTGAATACAAAGAGCTCACTTCATTATTATTTGCAGCAAACTATTGAAAAAGTTAAAATACAAACAAAATCTTGCAGTAGCAAAGATTTGTTCGAAAATCTTACAGCTCAATAACATAAAAATGAGGCTAGTAAACGACCAGATATATTCGTCGTGCAGAAGCCCTTTATTTCAATTTCCTACCTTCTTCTAACAAACTTTCTTTTTGAGAAACTTCAAAATATTAGCAAGTTTGAAACCATCATTTCTTATTCCTTAAATTAGGAGAAATTTTAGGTTATAGTACCCAATGAAGGTGAAGGAGGTATAATGGTTGCTGCTGTTGAAATATTACTAGCAAGAGAGATAGTAGAAGGTGTAGTAGCAGTAGAAGTAGTAGTAGGAGTAACAGTAGGTTTCATTGCACGCCGACAAGCCAATACTGCAGCTAATGTAACAAGCACTAAGACGGCCAACTGCAGTGTCATCAACAGAACCGGTAGTGAGATCTGTAGAAAAACCGTTAATTCAATCAAAAACTCATTAAGTAATTAATTACACACGATGATAAGTGATAGTAGTGATAATAATGAACACACCAAAACAAAAAAGGGCAAGGAATAAAAATTTGAAAAACCATAAAATCCCACTTTTGCTTATAATAGAAACTACTAATTTTAGGCAATAATGCACCAAGAAAGAAAATCCCATAAAACATGCAATTCGGAAAACGAATCAGCAACATTACAAGCGATCAACAGTAACGTATTGAGTGAATTATTTCAATAAAATCTTTGAAAGACCGGAAAAATTTGACCTTATACTCTTTTTTTTGAAAGTATCTGTATTAATTATTTTACCGCAACAAAGATAAAAAAAGGAACCACCTGTGTTTTCATTCAATTAACAGGCTACTTATACGAAACGCAATATCACTAAATAATTTAGTACTAAACTTTAATTGCAGCGGTCTCTCCAACTTCATGCAAAACAAACCATCAAAACTAAAGTATGATAAGAAAAATGTTCTACAAAGACAATTTATATAACATCGAATTTCTGGAATATTTAATACCCATCAAACTGTCGAAACCTAAATTTGATGAAATATTCAAGTTATTATTAAATGATTGATATCCTATAGAAGAGATTGCGAAAATGCGAAGATGGAGATACTCGTATTATGCGGCAAATCAGCTTTGACTTCTAAACTACTCTTTGATTTCTTACTATTCACGATATTTAGCAAACTACACAGCTAAATATTATTAATTTTTTTGAAGATGACAAGAATGATTTGCTTAAAAAGCAGGCTTTTTAATTAAAAAATATTGGCATTTGAGAAAAATGAAAATAATGAAGTCCATTCACATTATTTCATGCGCTTTGTAATTAAATGTTCAAAATTTAAGTATCGTTAAAAATTAATGAGCAAGTACACAAACAAACTGCCGTAAAATAGAGTTTTTAAGTATGTCAAAGACTCAAGGAAATGATGTTAGAATAATCTGAAGAGCTGATGTTTAAATATCATAGCAAGACTAACTTAAAGCTGAAAGAATAAAATAAAAAGCTACATGCAATAATGCAATTATAAAAAAAGAATATGCAGAAAGCTTCATGCAAATCTTTTGAATTTTTAGGTTTTTTTCTCTATGACACAACCACGAAATTGTTGATAGTGTCTCATACCCGCAATTCTGATAGAGCATCAACCAAAAGCGAGTCCTTATCCTCAGGCTGCCAATCTCTAGAATCACGCTGCTTTTGCTTCATTTCCTGAACTGACCACAGTAAATGATGATGACGATGACGGCAACACTGCGATAATGTGATATTTGATGACTACCTTTCAAATTGGATCGCTATTTTCATTTCTACCAGCCACTAAGCATTTCTCATTTTATATAAAGAAAAGCTTTAAAAAAATGCATGAATTGAAACAGCCAAAGTGAAAATAAAAATACTGAAAATTCAGAAGCTATATTCGTTCATTTAATCTATTCTAACAACAAATAATTAAATTATCAGCTTAACGTCCAAATAGTTTTGATGACTCAAAAAGAAAGAATTTCAAATTTTCCAAGGAAGATAATTTGAAGCTAAGACTTGACTCCGATCCAGGGAAAAACCATACATCCTCAAAACCTATTTGAACGTTTTCTAGAATTTAAACAAGCAAAAATGTGTTAGGAATATGTAAAATTATTGGTACCAAGCTCCGATGTGCACCTGTGAATATGTACTAATAAAAAATAATATATAAAAAAGTTGCGTAGCAGCAAATTCTTTAAGAAAGCTACCACCACCTCCTTAAACTCAGGAAAATAGAAAATGAAGTTAATTCTACCATAAAAACACAGGGAAAGAGTTGTAAGGCTACTTATTGAAAAGACTACTGTAGCTGTAACGAATGATTTACCAATATACTAATTTAAAAAATGAAGAAAAAGGACTACGGTCCATGCACCTGTGATACTAGATGTTGAGTTATTCGATCAAACGGAGATTCGACTGAATCAAAAGATGGTACATTTGAGGGGTGTTGAGGATCATTTGGTTGAGCTGGCTCTGCTGTACCGTACAGCAATAACGACCAGTCATGGAACGTTCCTAAAAATAATTTGCAAGACTTAATTTGAAGTGGAATAGAAATTTAATATTTTAAAGCAACAGAAATAGATTTACGTCAAAAATTGGATGAGCTAGCATGTGAATAAAAATGAGTTAAAAATTTGTTTGAGTAATTAGGTCAAAGTTGCCAGCAAACAAAAATAAAGACCTAAAAATGCTAGCATATCTACAAAGCAATAAATTCCAGAAATAAAGTGCAAAGAAGCAAGTGCGTGCACCGACATTCTAATTTGCTGAATAAACAATTCTGAATCTCTAGAAAATTTGAAATTAATCTGGACATACGATAATAACAACCTCCGATATTCCTATTCGTGCTAACAGATTCCACCATCAAAGTCCACGTTCCACGAGGGTCTTCACCCCATGTTTGTACGGACAAGAAGGGCCACTTGTGGATACCATTTGAATTGAAATCCTGCAGCATATAATTATTAATAACACTTCAACAGGTTGAACAATATGAAAGCGTAGTTAGGAAAAAAATCAACGAAATGTCTATTCAAACTGACAACAATAATTATGATACAAACGGATATACTTACTTGCTAGTAAGTAAATTACTTTTCAGCTAATAATGCATAAGATTTATAAAGGAAACCTGTGGACGAGGTGGAAGTAAAACTGATGAGGTACCACGTGGCGAAAGCAGCGTAAGTTTCAGGTCTCCTCGCTTTCCAAAGCGGAATGTTGCCAAAACTTGTACATGTTCGAGGTAAAGAACTGGTGTGCCAGATTCACAACCACCTACTTCCAAAGAAAAATTCATTTGAAAACTACCCGTTATTGGCCGTGGACTGAAAAAAAAAGGTTGCATGCCTACAGGAAATAAATCTATTTCTTTTCACATAATATTGCTGCAAATTACTGCAATTGATTCCTCCGATAATTGCAATCATATTTAAAAACGTGCTTGAATTTTTGAGGGACACCAAGGTACAGAAGATTTAGATAGCCACAGCTTAAAACACCTTAATCAAAATATCATTTTCCCTTCATATTTAGAACTGTAGAAGAATTTTCCAACTTACTTCGGTTTCTCCAACTTATAATCATATGTACAAATATGTTGTTCTGGTACTGTCTTCCAGATCAATGCAAGCTTTACCAATGCCGTGGCATCCATCAATCCGTAACCAAATTTGTTGTTGATTCGGCGCCCGACCCCATTCACTGACCAGCCTGGATTATTTAGCAATGGCACTGGATTGGCTGTTCGCAATACAATGTGTTGCATATCGCGCCATGTCAAATTTGGACTAAAAAAGGTAACTTACGAGAAAATCTCGGCATGCTAGGCAAACTTTCGTTCACTACTACAATAATTCTCAAAATGATACGATTGCTTAGGCAAAATTAATGATCTGGAAATAATTAAATTTATACATTAAGTACATAGCTGATCAGTTTGTAATAACTGCAAGGTATCTGTTACTTAATGACCCATTATTTCTTCCCTCAATGGGTTTGTGTGTTGTCGAAGACATATATTTCCCTTTTAACGATTACTCGATGAGGAGAAGCAAACTCATTCGAGTAATAAAAACTTACTTAGCTTCCAGTGCCAACGCAATAATACCCGCTGCAAGTGGTGCAGATGCACTAGTCCCCGTATGCGAACGAGTACAACCATGTGGTACATCAACCGTTATCTGAAAACTTAAGGTAGAAATAACTTACTAGCAGAACTGAGGGCCATCAAAAGCAAGACTGAAGAGTTTGCTCCACAGAGGATCTTACTGAGGGCTACAGCTTCGGGAAACTTATGCTCAACCGTGTTGATTGTACATATCGCTAACAGTAAAAAGCTATACTGAATGTTCGAATAGTTCTGCCAAAAGCAATCATGTGATAATATAACATATCTCATCTAATCCAGTAAACACTTATCATCTCATATAGTTCTTATATCTCACCTTTTTTTTAATCAATGCTATTTTTATAATAATAAGATGCCAAAACCGGACTTTTTAGGAGTGGTGAAATGAAAGCAATGAAATACGAGGTACTCACAATAGCTGGCTGATTCATGTTAGCACTGCTGTATGTTGTAGCGATGGTTGACGGACACTCCTCCAGATACCACGGGCTACGATTATCAATTGTTGCAGAACTAACACTAAGCGTATAGACAGATGTCGTATAACCATCGGCCGAACAGCTATCTTGTCTGCAAGACAAAATAAAAATTTGCAAAATTTACCTCCTCACCCTAAAACTGTTATTACTTTTACTCCCCAAAAAGACTGTTATTACTTTTACAATTATAATATCATCCATGAAATTTTCAAAATTAAATTTCTCTGCATTTTAAAAAAAAATTAATATCTCTATTCAAACTTGAATCTTTTACCTTGAGCCACCATTACCACTGGCCCAAACAAAAATGCTTCCTTTGCCGTCACGTCCTGCTCTAACACCATGATAAAATGCCTCTCGAGCTAACGGCCCAGGACCATCAAACGTCCTTCCATCATCTTCAGGACCCCAGCTCGCCGAATAAATATCGATGTGGTGACGATTAAGAGAGAGACTTGCTGCTTCAACACTAAAGTGAAATGTAATTTGATAAATGAACGCCCAAAGATGACGGTTTTATAAAATATAGGATCAAAATTGTAAGTATAACAAAAATTTCTCTAGAACTTTTGTCGTACTTACCAGACAGAAGCGAAATTTGCATAGACCCACTCGATATAATTTTCAACTAATTCTTTTTTTTTATTTTTAACTAAAAGTCTAGCAACTGAGCAGCGGATGTTCAACAGTTTAGTACTGAGATGTGAACAACTGATACTCTCTAAGCTGAACAAATTTATCTCATTAATTTCATTTTTGACTACACTTTAATTTTATTAACCCTATTAGGTATTTACCTATCGCTCACAGGACCGTCCAGCATTCGTACACCTCCGATTTTTGCATGAAATGCAACACCAACGCCACAGTATACATTCCCAGCAATTGATGCAACTTCACCTGCACATCGTGTACCATGCCTGCAAACATTAACGGACTATTGAATAGCGCAGAAATGATTATACAAGTCCAATGGAACAAATTAGAATTACGGATACCGTTCACTATATCAGTGATTACGCATATTTTCTGATATCTGAATTTAATTAAACTTCAATTTAAACTTGGTAAACCTTGTTTGTTAAATTTTTATTTGAACAAATTATACAATAAGACAACGGCAACAGTTAGGGTAATGTCATACCAGGCAATGCATACATTAACCTTGTTGAGGTTAAGAAATCCGGTTTATTGATAATTCAAATACAGGTAAATTAACAAAAATTGGTAGATGAGCTAGAATAAAACTATCACATATCGGCATACTCACTTTTCTGATGCTGAATTGTCAGCAATACAAAACTTTGACCAGATAAACATGATACTTTACTTATTCCGTTTAATTATTTCGCCATTCAAGTATTGAACTTTTTATCAAAATCCAAGACTTCACTACTTGATTTACTTCAGAATGGAATCTTTCATTCATTTACTTCACTGATTATTTGTCTTACTTTAATTTTGGCTCATAATGTACTTACTTGTTTATAGATTTTTTTATTTTGTCTTATTGCGTTTCACTTTCATTTAAACATTTATTCAGCTCCTTAGAATAACTATACCTACTTATTGTCACCATCATCTTGCGGTGTTGGATCATCATCATGACCGTTAATATCCGTACTTGCCAATGGATCATAATTCGCCGCCAGATCTGGATGATCTCGCTGGATACCGTCATCCAATATCGAAACAGATACGTTACGACCAGCATAACCTAATAACCAAGCAGCCTGTACATTCATATCAAAACCTCCCTGTGCACCATTGTTCTGCAAAATAGTATTTCGATCTTCTTTCCCGGTAATCATCGTACTCAGGACAAATTCCAAAAACTTTCTCTCCTCTTCGGATTTAAGAAATCTTTAAAGAAGTATTTTAAATACGCTCAAAGTTATCAAAATCATTTAGCTATGCACAAAGCTTAGAAAAAAAAACACACTCTGCAAAGTAATTTAACTTAATTTTCCTTTCATAAGTATAAATGCTGAAAACATTCAGAGAAAGGAAGCGAAGAGAAAAAAGACTGTTTTCAAAATCTGTTATCTTTCGTAAAAAAGGAAAAAGTCCTGTGAAAAAATATCATGTAATAAAAAGATTTTGAAAGCAATAAAAATAGCGTGATCTTTACCAAAAAGAAAAAAAACGTACAAAATACCACTGTTCTCTATACAAGGGATCTGGAAATGGTAAAACAGGTACATCTCGTGATACGGAATCAAATCGGTGTTCCATATTAGCTATCGATACAGAATGCTTTACAACATTAGTGGAATCATTATTAGGTTCATAAACAGTATCCGAGTACACAAAATCACGTTTTCGCCTTACCCTGAATTTTAGGAATGATATAAATGTTTAAAAGAAATCGAAAATTAAATCTCTAAAAAAATCGTTCCTTACCTTCTAGCTATTGCATAAAACAGTGGAGGAAATTCAGTTTTCCAAAAACTAAGCAACTGAAAGCTTAAAATACCTCGGCCTTTGTTCTTCGATCAATAAAACATCAGGATGTTCTTGCAATTTCGAGATTATTTCACGCTTTTGCCGTCTTGAACGTTCTTTTGATAAATGACTGACAAAATAATACGTACCATCAAGAAATGGATTACCCTGAAATGCGAGAGGAGCTACATTTTACATTTGAATTCGAGACTCTAAAACTTAATTTTCCTGCGAACTTTCGCATTCATACTCATGTGAAATATTAAAATCATTTGGCATAGATAATCCGCCACACAAACTTCGGTAATGATAACTTACCTTAATTTCCAAACCATGCTGTTTGGCAATTAAATGAGCTTTTTTATCATTTCTTTCGCGAAGTCTCATAACAGTATGACTTGGCTCTGGGCAAATTTCATCCTTTGTACATATCGAATCATGCTCAATGGTCAAAATCCTTTGTAAAGAACCGAGTAAGACGAGTATTACCGCAAAGTGCCAAGACATCCTGAAAAGATATCGAATACACTTATTAATTATTTCAGAATAAAATCAAAAACTGTCCACATATGAGCAGAAATAATGTTTTAATGCGGATGAAATTTGTTTTCCTGTTAGTGGGAGCTACTATTATCAAACAATAATAGCCTCTCACTAACATGAAAACAAACTTTTGAATTTATGAAATTAAATCTCTACTCGTTATATTATTCAGTGGTGATTGTATATGCTGCTCGTATAGAATTTATTTATTTTTATTAAGTGTGGTAAGGCAGAGTGTAAAGTAATAAGAGAATAGTGGCAGCATTATATAATTGCCACACAGAACATTTTGAGGATCATTTGGTTTCTCCTCATCATTGTATTATCATAACTTAATTGACATCATGTGAAAAGTTGCGTAAAGTAGGTCAATATGCTGCTATAAAAAAAAACATAAGCACTCAGATGAATATTATTACAAGAAATATCAAGAGAAAATAAATGATGCGAATAGCATTATTGATAATTTACAAATTTGCAACTATAATTTTCTAAAGACTTATTTCAGCTTCCTTTGAAGAAGTCCGCTCAATGATTATCTTTAACTGTAAATGAAATATTTCTTATATCACTAAATTTCATCTCATTTCTTGTTGAAACTATTTTCTACAAATATAAACATTCAGTTCAGAAATTACGCTTTTATACCACGAAAAAACTCTCAGTTAAATTGTGTCAAAAATTCCTTAACGCAATAAAATCTTTTATGGTAGCTCTTTCCATATTCTTCCAAAAAAGCTCACTTCAAACAATCACCTCATTGCAATATAGAAAGAGCATGACATCTGATAAGCATGAAATCATAACTGAATAACTTTCACTTATCACTGACTGCTAAGCAGAACGAAGGGATTTTATCTATCACAAATGTCAACAAACTCATGAGATTCTTTTTCTTGTGTGCTTGCTAAAGCTAATATCATGTTTATTTTAAACTTGCCATTTGAAATTATCTATCACTTATTTTCACACTATATTGTTTCATTTAATAACATATTTATTCATTTCATCCGGTTTAATAACAACATACTGCCCAAACCACATATTTATTGAATTATTCTGTAGCTTATATACGTAATCACAATTTCACCGATTAAAACATTTGCCCAGGACAACAATTTTTCCAACATTTTAAAAGTCGAAAACAAGTTACTGCAAGAAACTTGATCCAAAAAGTGGACATTTAAAACCAAAACGATGAAGAGAATGTAAAACGGTAATCTCAAGGAGATAAATTTTTTGAAATCACAACATCGTCTTTGAATCACAGTAGAGGAGGAAAAGATCAAAAAGAATATTATAAAATCAAAAGCGAGGATTATAACTTCTTCCTAAATAAATTTTTCCAAGTTTTCATCAGATAAATTAGGCAAAGGAAAGGAAAAATTCTATTTGCTCTCTCAGTTCAAACAAGCATTTTTAATTAATTTCAACATCCTTCCATAACGTGGCAGTAGTAAGTAAAAAAAGTTGCATTTGACTTATAATGCTTTTTTTATAGAAATAAAGAAAAAAAATTGTATTTGAATTAAAAAAAGCTTTAAAGCAAATTAATATAAATTCATTAAAATTTGAAAGAAAGGCAAAAACTCAGTGGAGAAAGTTGAATTCCATAAAGGGACCTCAAAAAGACCTGCTTTTTGAGATATTTGAATTTAGTAGTAAATACTCATCTCATTAATACGCATTGCGGAATTGATAATGGAAGAGGATGGGCGATATCATATTTTACTTTATTAAGCATCAGTGAAATTCAAAATTTCTAAGGGAAAACATGTAAAACTGGAAATGCGCAATGCTCACAAATTATTTCATATATCAAGAATTTCTTTGAAAGCTTAATAAAGGAAATTAACATATCTATGTTTCAGCTTTATAACATGGACTTTCTATCGTTATTAACACGAAATGCAAACTATCAATTAATTAGGTTTATAAGATTAATTTCGATGATAACGGAAAAAATTTAAGCTCATTCTGCATCAAATTAAAAATATTTGAAGAATCACTCACAACGAACAATTTTTTTGGGTGTGAAACAAAACAGATACGAACGCACATACAAACATAGAGAGAGAGAGAGAGATAAATATTCGTCCATGTAAACAAGTGACAAGTCAAGCAAACAAGTTTTCAGACTTTTATCATCCCCTTCCGTAGCTTCATCACCTCACTAATTAATTGCATTTTGCTATCCCTACATAGCACTTTTACTTGTAGTAATAAGAAAACTGGTACGGCAATTCAAATTTTCAACCATTAATAAGTGTTGTAGCGATGTCAACTGCAGTACACTTGATATAAGCGAAAAATTCCACCCAAGGATGGGAAATAAATAATACCTTATTTAGGGAAAATATAAGCAGGTTTTCATAAGGTGTGACATGTACAGCTGAAGTACTATATTACAAAATGTGTTGAAGGCTATAAATGAAGATCAAATAAAGTGAAAAATTGCAAAACTCCATACAGCACTACAAATTCCACATTATTAAATCTAAATTTATTTTTCACAAATTTCATACAAATGTTTCAAATATATTGGTTGCTTCAATTATTCATAGGCCCAGGAAAAACGAATTTATCCGAAAAACCTATATTCCATACCTAACCATATCATAAATTAAATTACAAGTTTTAATCTATCATTCGTACAAATCTGATTAATTTCCACCTCAAAATGAAGCAATGTTTCAGTTCAACCAAATTTGTAGCTCGAAGACATACATTGCTTTTCTTCTAGCACATGACTATATGAGGAAGTTTTTGAAGAACGGCGTTCTAAATTATTATCAGGTTAAACAAAATTCCGAAGCATGTGTGAGAGATTCATTGATAGTATTATAGTTTGCAGTATTAATTAACCACCAACTCCTAACAAGTGCCAAAAAATTGTAGTCCATTTGAGATACTACTCTTCCCTCATTTACTTACATTCCTCTAATCCACCGCTTTAATTACCTTCAGTCTAGACTTTTATAAATTGCTTTACCTTGTTTTTTTTTTTACGAATTATCGGCTCCAAGTCTTTAAACCCTTAATCTCTCTGAGTCTTCTAATTGTCTTAACAAAATATTATTAATATGTTATGAAATATACCAAAACCAACAAAATCATAAAGATAAAATTTACTAATAGTCACTACAGAATCTTATAATTTCATCGTGTTGATCGAATTCAACAAAAATATAATACAAAATGCAAAATTTCCTAGGAATTTTTCCTTCCACATTTTAGAACACTTCGGACTGTTTAAATCATATAATGCAATTAAGATCAATTATATCACCTGATGATTTAAGTTCACTGCATATGTTTAGGTTGTTCATTACATATTCTTCCCAAATTAAAATAAATTGAAATCTGAACAGTAAGAAAAAATTGATAAAAAAAAATTTTGCACCTTTTCAACATCGGTGGTAGTAGCATGGTTGCAACTTCTGACGAATGATGCACACACTTGTCACAGAATAAATGAACAAGGGAGGGAGTTGAAATTTGTTAGGAGACCAAATATTTGAAACTTTACTTCGCAAATAATTGTAGAAACAGCAGTAGCAATTCGGCATTTAAAAAAAGTAACCAGATCAGCCGAGAGTTGCAGCAACAATAAGTACTATTATTACTGAATAATTGCTCCGGTAATGTGCTGATATGTCCTGCTCATTTTCTATTCCAACTTTTCTTTTTATTAATTAAAAAGGGAGATAAACGCGTTGTTTCCTTGTTTCCACCTTTAATTTGTTTTCAGCAGCCGGAAGCCATAACAAATCCGGAAATTTCCACACACGTACACATGAGTGACATACACAAACTGCTACTGCTGCGCTCTTTCCCCTTTTTCGTTTGAAACGAAAAGCCAACAGCTAGCTGAAATTAGCAGAAAGTGTTAAATTCTACCAATTTCATTTTTGAGTTTTCTTCGTCGCTTCTTACAAAAGAAAACTTAATAAAATTAGAATAAAATAATTCAAATAAAATTCAATCAAGGAGAAGTAACGTAAAAATCATATAAATATGCTTTAGTAATTCTAATCAGAACAGTAACATTAAGGATATATGGAATCAAATATATCCACTAGATAATTTAAGCTAAGCAAGAACATCGCAGTAGTAATTATTTTAATAATTTGAAACAGCTAATAATAATTATTTGAAACAGTAAAACTTCTACATACGCATAAGACATGAACTTTTGAAATTAATCATTATATGCTTGTCTTATTAACGCTATTGACAACTAGTTAAAAAGATGCTATTTCATCACAATTAATGCGTTCTAACAATTATGATTATTGTCTTGAGGACATTCATAATAACATAATATCATTTTCCATCGTGTGTTACTTTTAATTTTTATGTTTTTTTAAATTAATTTCCACATTATATATTTATATTTTTCCAAAATATTTCTACTGCATTTCTATCGCTTTCTATTGCATTAATGAAACATTTAGGGATTGATCTAAGAAATGTGCAAAGCAAATCGTAACTGAAATAAATTAGCAAATATTGGCATTGTTTTAATTAATTTTAACGTGCTGCATTTAAATAAAAAAAATTCTAAAGATATACGATTTTCCATCCAAAAAACAAATAAAAGAATCAAAGAGAAAAGACAGAAACTTTAAATACATACAAAATGGAATGGCAAAAGTTTGCTAGTAAAGCGTAAAGCAAATAATCGAAATCAATGTTACATATATTCATAATAGAAATAAAAGTTATAGAGGAACAGAATCGAATATTGATAATTAAAAAACTGAAATGAATAAATAGGCCTCGAGTTTAATCACACGATGGGTGGGAAAGACGTTCGTTATTCAAATAAGAAAAAAATTTAAGATCAACATCGACTTCCACTGCTGAACCTCCTACCACCGAGCCATCAAATGCACGAATTTTTGTCAGGTAAGACATATAACCGGATTGCAGCGATATGCAATAATTGTTTCTCACGGCTG